CGCGCCATTCGGCCGGCCCTCTAAGTTTCTTTTATATAATGTTTCTTGGCTTAAATTATAAACTTTTAAAGTTAAATCTATTAATTTTAAAAATTTTCTTAGAAAGCTCTTTCCCATCAAAACAAGTTAGTTATTCCCCCCTATGTTTTCTTTTAGCATTTATGTCTTGTTTTCTTTTCTTTCTTATTTAATTCTTTAACTCATCTGGAGCATATTTTGGTGTAAAGTGAGACTCTGACTTGATATAATTTTGCACAAAACCAATTTTCCTAACACCATTTGGTGAATGACCTATAATTTTTCCTTTGTTTTTCTGTGAAGTTTTGTCATTTTTGTGCAATGCATTGTTAGAGTCTTTCTAAATTTTTGTTTTATTTTGTTTTGTTCTGTTTCCTATTCACTAGTTGGCTGGAATCAGTACCCACTTGCTTTGTTCTCAGTTGTTATTGATGTTTTAAAATATTCTTTTTGGAATATATTTACTCCACTAAATTCTTTTACTAACAGCTTTTTAGTTAATTCTCTTTGGTTTTCTAGATGAAATATATTGTCTATGTATATGATAATATTGTTTCTTCTTTCCAAATGTCATAGTAGCTTCATTGTTTCTTGTTTTATGGCATTGTAAATAACTTTCTTAATGATGTTAAACAGTAATAATGATAATAGATATCAATTTATCATTTTTACTTTTACATGATCAGATTTTTAAATCTATTAATTTGTTAGCGCTCTAAACTCAAATTTAGTTTACAAAATATTATAACATTTATGTTTTGTCTAATTGCCTCAACTTTTAACAGAAATTTTTGCATAAAATTTAATTTTTAAATTGTTTTTCACTAAAAAATAATATATAATTTTATCTCCTTATTCCTAAATTATTTCCTGTTCAAAATGGAATTAAAAGTGTCTATATTAATGTGTATGTCTTTTTCAAAGCTAGAATACACATTATAAAACTTAAATATTACAGGCTTGATTCTTTCCCCCAAAAGTGAAAAAATCATTCCCTCACTAATGGAATCAAGTCTTAAGCCTGTTAGAAAGATTTCTGTGGCATCCTGATTTCAAAAAAGTATGTTCTCAGCATTGACTATTTCCTATATTATGAGTCTCACTAAAAAAATCAAAAGTATTCTAAACTTAAAAAACAGAAAAAAAGAACAAAGATCCATATGTACATGAATTACCCACAACACTATTCTTAATTTAACTATTTTATTTTGACTCTAACTTTGGACTCCTTTAACTTTTAATTAAATCAAAATATGTTTCATGTTAAAATATAGAAGCAAATTCACGTGACCGGCTTCTTTTCATATCTTTATCATCAAAGCTAACAATATGCTGATTTGCATAAAAACCTTCTTCCTCATTCTCAAATTCCAGTCCGTCACAGCATTTGCAAAGCTGGTGAGAAATCAAGGTTGGCATCCCAAACACATGGCGGCTACTACCTCTGAGTAAGGCAGATCATCTCACTCAAAACAGTTACCCATAGTAACAGAAATAGAAAGAGAACCAAGTATTCTTTTCATATATATATTTTTTTGCACTTAGGACATTAACTGATATTAGCTTTTTATATTATTATTATGAATTATCTACATTAGCCTATGTGAGACTTCAAGCTAATAGGAAAAAATCTTCTGCATATTATGTTCAACCACGGAGCATATTGTACTCAAAGTAGATTCAACCAACAATGACTGAGTACCTACTACTGAGTACCCTCAAAGAGCTTGGAGGTGAGACACAAGCAGTTATGTATATAATAATAAAGGCAATAGCAGGAATTTGTAAAAGCTTCAGTATTAGCACTGCATTGCAGAGGTCAAGAGAGATGTTGCAGAAAAAGAGGTGTTTGAGCTATATTTTAAAGGATGAAATCTGAAGGAATTCACCAAATAGAGGGAAAAGCACAGAAAGCTAAGAGATGAGAAATGACGCCATGTTGTTATATACTGCCTGCTGTCAAATACCCCAAACTCTCATCTTCTAATCCTCATTACACATGCAACCTCTGTCTCCCTGTTCAAACCAATGAGCTCCAAGAAAACAGAGACCAAGTCTGTCTGATTCATGCTGTGTATTCAGTGGCACATGGTAATTGCAAAATAAATATTAGGTGAATGAATGAAGAAACAGATGTGCAAATAAAAAAAAAACAGTAAATCAGAAGTAGTTTTGCATCCCTGATATGTTATATGCAAGGGGGAAAGGAAGTAAAGTGCTGAGATATGTAAAAGTAAGGAAAGCTCAAATATAATTTTGCTCTTCATGCAAAGATGTTTTTCATAAAGTTAATGGTAATCCATTAAAAGATCTATACAAGTTAATTTCTTTTTAAAATTTAAAAAATTTTATCTTATTTTACTTCTCCAGCTTTACTAAGGTATGGACAAATTGGTTTATCAGTAATGTTTACATGATAATACCTTGTACATGACTTCCCACTGGTGTAGCTAATATAGATGTTAGCTACATAACATAATAACATTAATGCTTTTATTTTGTTAATAATAATACTTTTATTTTCTAGAAACTTAACTCTCAAATTTTTATTTTTAAGCAGCAGGATACTTTTTATCAGAGGATCTTATCTTAAAATTTAATATAAACAAACAAAAGGGAGGCCTGCTTTGGGTGAAGCAGAGGCAGGTGGGCGCAGAAGGTGAAAGAAATCCCAGGCTGCCTGGGGGGGATGACAGATCAAAGCCACTGTCCTTGAATAGACCAATATCTAAAGATAACTTCTTAAATGGAGGAGTCTTTAACCGTTTATATTTTAAAACTGTAACAGTAATTGATTCTTTTACTTGAAGGTTAAATATAAAAACAGTTATAAAATCTGCCATCTGTTACTCTTTCTATAATAGATTTAAATCTTTTCACTTCTTTCTGATGACTAATGTTAGCAGGCATTGTAAATAATTGTTATCCATTTTAAAAGTGTTTCATTTCAAAAAGGGGGTTAAAGTAGCTGCGAGTGACACCGCACTGGACAAACGAGAAGACGTGGGGCTCGTTCAGCACCCCCCTGACTAGGGATACAACCTTGGTTAAGCCATGTAACAAACATTCTCTGGCACCTCACTCACCTTGTTAATAAAATCAAGTGGTTGGAATTATTACTGGATTGCAAATTTCTATGGCCACAACTCCAAGTAAGAACTACATTTTAAATCTTAATCCAGTACGCACATGCATCTAAAACTTTCAAAATGTCATGAAATAATGCTTACCTTTACTCCATGCTATGCAGCCTAATACATTCTATTTTCTATTTCATTTCATTTAAAAATGTTGGTCAAGACCCACTAAGTTGGTTTTCTCTCTCACAGTTGTGACCCGTAGTTGGAAAGACACTAGACAGATTATCTCTATGGCCCTTTCCTCTCTAAAATAATGCAATATTATCATCAAGACATATGACTGAAATCATAGAAATCTCCAGAATGTAAAGCATGTGGTAGATGCTCAATTATCATTTAATTGCTTTTTTACTCTGTCAAGGAAATTACTTAAATATTTAAGATAAATTAGGTAACTACAATTACTTAAAGTAGTTAAGGTGCCTATTCCTTCAAGAAATCTGATTCCTCTGAATTCTCATAGCTCATCCTCTGTTCCTTTCTTATTATACTAACATAATTAAATATAATACTAATGTAATTAAAAGATTAATACACGTAAACCACATAGTAAATCCCCAACCAAAAAGCAACATAAGTTAAGCTTATCAGACACTGTTGTAAGTGCCCAAAGTATAGTAACTCATCTTTTTCCTCACCCTATACAGTTAAAGTCCTGATGGGGAAACTGAGTCTCAGAGATGGTCACTGAACCAAGCACTGAGTAACAGAGAGAGGTCTTCTCATTCCAGATCCAATACACCTATGCAAAATAGCATAGTAGTTTTAATAAGGGCTAGTTAGGTATGTCCACTTTCTATTTTTATTACAGTTAGCTACATATATTGCCCAATCCTATCTATTCAACAAGCAAGATATTTGATAGTAGAGATCATATTCCCCCCTTTTTTGTAATTTCTATATTACTATACTATACTCTAAGAACACCAGTAGGATGAATGAAATACTATGTGTGTGCATCTGTGTGTTACACAGATTTTGTAGACTTAGATTTTTTTCATTCCATGCTTAGCCAAACAGAACCTAAAATTGTAATTAGTATTTTAAAGACTAACTCGTTATTAGTACACAAAAATAAAATGCCTATAAGACCACCTAGAATATTTATCATGATTCTTCCATGTAGCTCAAATAGTACCTGGGATTTGCTAAACTCGTCCAGAGGCTAAATATGTTGTAGTTTTATGTCCCCATTTATTTGCAAGTAAACAGTCTAATTTGATAGGGGACATGGATTCAAAATGTGACTACTAACCCTAATTTACCCCACTCATAAGTATTTTTTGTTTGTCTTGACAAATGTGACATGTACATAGAGTTTTATTTAAAAACCCTTGTCATGTTTCTAATCTCTCCATTGTCAATGGCAGATAATAGTCAGCCATGTAAAATGTGTACTTACTACTCTGCCACTTTTGTGGGATAAGTCAAGAGAAGAATAAATAGATAATTGGACTAATGTTGCGTTAAAATCCTTTTCCCATATCAAATGGCTCTTTTAATTGCAGAAGTGGAATTATAATGAGAACTGAAGAATGGCAAAGAACAGACAAAAATTAAAACAGCTCAATCAGAAGCAGCATCACAAATGAATCTTGAGATAAAGAAAATGTCCTAACCTTCGGGAACTACAATCTCTAAAGTTCTCACTTGATTAATTATCAATAAGTAATTCATATTATCAACAAAATAATATAAATGACATTGATAAAGTCATTATTTAAGATGAGTCTGACACAAATATATTTTAAACAAAGAAACAACCCACATCATTTTGGGTTAATTGTGCCCTCTTCAGGCATTTTCGTAATGTACGAATATGCTTGTTATTCAACTACGTACCAGGAGTACCAAACTGGATGCAATTTTCCAGAGTCCTGACATAGTCAGGATCACTTAATTTAATTAGGTGAAGACTGTTAGCTTTTTCCATGTTCTTGATCCATTTATTAGCCTGACCTTGAGGATCTATCATCAGAGGCCACCTTCTTGCATTCCTGAAAGAGAGAAGACAGACAATGCTGGTCAAGCCATGATTTGTCTCTATGCTATTTAATCATTTTCTTAAAGCTTATGCTTTCTAGTAATATTTTATTTTTTAACTCATTCTGAGAAACAATGTTCTTGAAGCACAGACATTTAAATTGAGCAGGCTACTAGAATGGCAACTATAAAAGCCATCTGGCAAACTTAACACAAGTTATTTTACTTTTTTTGAAAAATTATAGTTTTCTAAATGTTAAATTACATTTTGAAAATATTTGCTGCTCTTGCTAATAAGTCACAATGACAACCATTAAGAGTAATGGAAATCAGAGAGCACACAGCAACTAATTGCGGGAAGCTCACTTCAAGTCTAGAGGGGGCCAGCCGAGTGGCATGATGGTTAAGAGCTGGCTCTGAAGGCTGGAAGTCCAAGATCAAGGCGGTGGCAGGTTTGGTTACTCCAGAGGCCTCTCTCTTTGACTTGTAGACAATACAGCCCTCTTGCTGTGTCCTCACATGGCCGCTCTTCTGTACGTGAATCCCTGGTGTCGTCCTCTCCTTATAAGGACACCAATGCTAATGAATTAGGGCTCTATTCTTATGACCTCAGTGAACCTAATTACCTCCTTACAGACCCTATCTCCAAACACAGTCATGTTGGATGTTAGGCCTTCAACATATGCATTTTGGCGATGATACAGAGGAACAACTCAGTCCATTCTATTTAGGAAGAAATGAGACCAAAAGAGTCGTGTCATATCTTAGATGCAATCAAATAATAAAAAGAGAATCATATCCATAAGAACCTAAAGGGAGTGAGAGGGAAATTAGAAAGAAATAAAACTTAGAAATATGTGAAAGTTTCATTCTGTCACATTTTAGATATGTTTTTAAGTTTGAAGGATTATGTGTGAGTGTTAGACTGCATTTATGCTTCCCTAAAGAAATTGAATGACTCACTCTTCCTTCTGTTGCTTCCATTTTTTTAGCCACCAATACCCATGTTCATGCTGGCTCTTTTTTCTTTTTTTTTTAATCCAAAATGTACTTCCTCCCCATACTTTCATGTTCAACTCCTACTCATATTTCAAGGTCAGCTCAAATGCTATGCAGTCCACAAAGCCTATCTTGATCGTTTTTCTCTGTAAACTTCAGCAATTCATCCATATTATATTTGTGGTACTTTCAAATAATGATAACATTCTATTATGGTAATTCTATAATTTCTTAATTGCATCATCCAACTAAATTGTGTATTTCTAGATCAAATAAAATGAAATGAAAATTAAAAAAAAATATCCAGCAAACATTATACAAGTCATTCATTCTAAAAGTTAACATTTTCTAAGAGAATACTCATCCACAAAACAACATCTTAAAATCAGAGGAAAGGACTTCTGGTGCTGACTAAGCTGGGATAAGGACATTATAGCCTATCCCTTCCACCAAATTATAATGAATAATTCTGGGTAAAATACAAAAAATAACTACTTGCAGATTCTGAAAAGTAAATAATAACAAGTGAATGAGAGAAAAGTTAAAACTTGAGGAACGACCAATAAGGAGGTGGGAAGTTTCTTGTGCATGAGTTTTTCATTTTTCTTGTTATTTCCTGGCTTTGATCTGAGAACAGGCCCAGTAGGGGAAGTGTACAGTAGCCACAGGTAGCAAAAACTCTCACTAGAGGACCGAGAAAACGATCATGTGTGAGCCAGACACTGGGGCGAAATCCATGTTTTATTTTTTACTCTCTTTGTTCTCTTCTGTCTCTGATCCGAGGTCAATGCCAGCCACAGGCTATATTATCATGGCAGAAGCAATGATGGTATAGTTAGCTAAAACACTGAGGGAAAACCCATTTCTGTGGATAGTGGAACTGAGAAAAGGGTTCTCTTGTGTACAGAGTGGAAGACCTGTCTTAGTCCGTTCAGGCTGCTATAACAAATGACCACAGATGGGTGGCTTAAATAACTGACACTTATTTCACACAGTTCTGGAGACTGGGAAGCCTAAGATCAAGGTGTCAGCAGAACCAGTGTCTTGTGAGGGCCTGCTTCTTGGTTTGCAAATGGCCATCTTCTCTTTGTATCTTCACACGGTGAATAGCAGAGAGAAATCCTCTCTGTGTCTCTTTTGATAAGGACACTAATCCCATTCAGGAGGACTCCACTCTCATGACCTAATTATCTCCCAAGGCTCCACCTCCAAATGCCATCACACTGGGGATTTAGGCTTCAACATATAAACCACACTGGGAATTTGGGCTTCAATATATGAATTCTGGGGAAAAACATTTAGTCCAAAGCAAGGGGAATCACAGTATTTTTCTCTCTTTCTCTTGCCACTTTGCCAGTTTGCATATGGGGTTGTGTGACAGTGTGGGAAGTTAAATCCTGAGAGAAAGCCATCATTTTCATTGGAAAAATATAAAAGAAGAGGTTCCTGAGTATGGAAAGTGTGGGGGAGATCCTGGAGGGGATAGCCCTGAAGAAAGGACTCCCTAATTCTGTGAATGAATGGACACAGTGCTGAGCTCATTACCTAGCTGTGCATGCATGGGACACATTCACAGAAGCATGCCAATGGTTGAACTATGATATAAATCCAAGCCCCAGACTAACCCCTGAGTAACGCATGTTGAGGAGCAGATCTGAACAGCACAGCAAAGGCTTTCAAGTCAGACCTGACATTGGAAACATCAACCACAGAAGAAAAGACAGAAATTGTGATCTGAACCTAACCAAGTAGTCTGACTGCTAAAACAAAAACCAGTCACATCCAATAAACATAGGGGTGCATATATTTTTTTGAATTAGTGTTTGGATTTATTTGATTACATACCCAGGAGTGGAATTGCCAAGATACGGAAACAACTGAAATGCTCATCGATAGACAAGATAGACGACTGGATAAAGAAACTGTGGTACATCTATACAATGGAGTATTACTCGGCCATAATAAAGAATGAAATCTTACCAGTTGCAACAACATGGATGGGCCTAGAGAATATTATGCTAAGTGAAATAAGTCAGACTGAGAAAGACAAATACCATATGATCTCACTTATATGTGGAATCTAAAAGAACAGAATAAATGAGCAAACAAAATAGGAATAGACTCAGAGATACAGAGAAAAAACATGGCTGCTAGATGGAAGGTGGGTGGAGATAGGGAAGAAGGTGAAGGGATTAGAAAGTACAAATTAGTAGTCACAATATAGTCACGGGGATATGAAATACAGTATGGGGAATATAATCAATAATGTTGTAAAGATCATGCAAGGTGCCAGATGGGCACTGGACTTATCAGGGGGATCACTTCATAGGCTGTGTAGGTGACTGATCACTGTGCTATACATCTGAAGCTGAATAATATTGAATTTCAACTATAATTAAATGTTTTATATATATATATTAAAAAAAAATATATATATATATATATATTCACACACACGATATAAGATGTAAAGTACAGCCTAAGGAATATAGTCAATGGCATTGTAACAGCTATATGCAATGTCAGAGGGGTAGTAGATTGCAGGGGTTATCACTTTGTGGGGGGTTTAAATGTCTAACTATTATGTTACTTTGTATACCTGAAACTAATTTTAAAAAAGTCAATCTTATCCAGAGTGTTTTAACAGGACCTACAGTCTCATATTCAAAATGTCAATGACATTCAATATTATTTTATATTGGTTTCAAGTGTATAGCATAGGGTTAGATAATTATATAATTTAAGAAGTGATCCCCCTGACTAGTACCACCTGGCATTATATATTGTTATTACCATATTACTGATTATATTCCCTGTACTTTACATCCCATGACTATTTTGTAACTACCAATTTGTATTTCTTAATCCCTTCACTTTTTTCACCCTGCCCCCAATCCTTCTCCCATCTATCACCCCAATTGATCTAGTATGTATATGACACCATACATAGTTATTACAATATTATTGACTATATTCCTATGCTGTACCATACATCCCTATGACTACTTTGTAACAACCAATTTGTACTTCTTAATCCCTTTCCCTTTTCAACCACCCCTCACAATAGTCTACATGGAAGGACACAGATTTGAATATGTAACAGTGATGCATTTCGAAGAGTTTTGCTATTTCCCTCTTGACACACACACATAAAACTAGATAGAAAAAAATAAAGAAATGTAGGTTCTCCTCTTAGTTATAATTCCTGCAAAAATAACCGAATTTATCTGCGCTTATAGAAATGAAAAAGACATTTTTAAAAAGCAGATTAGATATAGATACATTAGATATAGGTCTGATCTACTTAGCAAGTTGTTAAACAGTTCTAATACTTTGCCCGTGAAATGTTCAGAAACAATCCAATTCCATTTAATGTTATCACTATAAATTCTGATTAGCTAAGGACCTTCAAGAGTCAATAGCTCCAAAAGTTAATTACAGTCTAACATCTAAATTTTATAGGTTTTTCGTTTCCCTAAATAATTGACTCCTCACTCAGCTGAGGTAGTATGCAAAAAGTGCTTAGCACAGGATTAGGTCCTTAGTAAGTGCTCAGTATTAGGTATTGTCATTATCAAGCATCTCTGGAAGAATGCACTATGCAATTAAATAAGATACTTACAGATACTTCAAAACAATCACCTTAAACCTATTTATTCTCAGTTTAAGCTTACCAAAATACACTGACAAAATAAGCCAAGAATGGAAAATGTTAGTTTCTTTCTTAGAATAGTTGCCACCATAACTTTTTGCTAATATTTTAACATTTTTACCAACAAATAGCAAAAATGTAGGGATTATGGCTCATTAACACCATCTTCTACCTCTACCTCTCTGAAATATAAATTTGCTGTTATGCAAAATAATCACTGAAAGGTTTGGGATCTTAGAAGCAGAAATATTCATCAACAGTTCTATTATTATTGAAATACGACTGGAGCCCCCCAAAAATGAGTACATTTATTTGCTAGCAAATAAGAAGCAGTTTAGATTCCAATGGACATAATGGTAATAGATGTCCTGCTGGGTGAAACAAAGGTATATAAATTGCAAATCAAAACAATAAAGACATAATTATTGCAGTGTGGGACCTGACCAACTATATATATTCACAAGTTTTTGGGAAGAGTAAAGTATTTTTCTCTGAGGAGGAAACAATAGCAAAAACAATAAAAAGCAGCAAAAATCTGACTGTTCTTTACGGCAAAGTGAATTGGTTCAGTTATGCAAAAGTAAAAAGTAAAAGATGGACTTCTAAACTTTCAGAAATGTCCCCTATATGTCAACATCTAATGTGTATTCTCACATGAAACATCGACACAACGGTCTGTATGCCACCCACTTGTTAAGTAATAATGAACTAGCTGCCATCCTGTACTTGTTAAAAGGCGCTTGAAACTCTGTTTTAGCGGCAAACTAATGCATATATTGATCATTTATCTAGATTCTATAACTTCTCTTCTGGATTAATTTAGTTTATCAGAAAGAGAGAGAGCTCAGTACTTATTTTAGGCCCCCAAAGAAAAGCTTTATAATCTTTTCTTCCAATCAACAAAATAATTAAATTTCAGTGCCTGAAAAAGCTTGTCTCTCTAAGTACAATTGACTTGGATTAAAAATGAGAACTATGTGACACAGGATTTTTTTTTGCCTTAATTACCAGAATGCTTTAAACGTAATTCACAGCCCAACTGTAAAGATTAGTTTGTCTCAAGTACCTAGTAGTAACTACTTTTTAAAACTTTCCCTAGGTAGTCTTATCAGATTTTATCTTATTTTATATTATTTTCAAATTGCACATACCTGAAATCCCTGTAAAACAATTTAGTAAATAAATGCTAAAAAAAAAAAATCCATAAGTCGTGCTCATTTGTTGAGCAGTAAAGGAATGTGTCCACCAGAGTTTTTAATTTGTGAAATAATTTTCATAAATACTGCATACAAAAAATTTAAGAATAACTAGATTTCACATGTAGTGGTCAATTTTATTTTTAAAATTCACATGCCTCAACCATTTTTACTTTAAATTGAGTACTATCAATTACTGTTTCAGTAGTAAACTAACAACTAATCAAAACTGTCCTATAACACAGAACTGAACATTTCCCACTGATGGTTTATCTGAGCTATTCCTAACATGCTGAAACCTCCAAGAAGGCTGGTCCAATGAGAAAAGGCCCATGGTAATGTGAACTTGGAAATGACACAACTGATGATCACCCTTACAAGGGAGCAGGTTGACGGCCTTAGCTTCTGGAAGGTAAGATCTGGAGTAAAGGTGAGGCTGAATGAGCTTACAGTATTCTCCCAGCCCAGTCTCCATGGGATTTATCTACTAACAGGGGGACTAGAAATAGCAGCAACTGTCGTAAAAGGTCTAATCTGCCCAGGACCTAGAAGTGTATCCATATCATTTACGCTAGTCCCATACCCAGCAGGGACTAGTACAGAATATGGAACACCCAAACCTATCAATACCAACAACCCACTGCTGCACCTTTCATTAACCTGCAATAATAAAACTCTGTATTTTATGGGAATAAAAACTTCGAACTTCACTTATTTACAGTACCATTTTGCTCTATTTGCTAAAAGTTGATTAAAGTTTAAGCAAAAGTCATTTGGGTTTTTGTTTATTTTACTACAGTCTCCAATACTCAACTATTCCAATATTAATAGAAGGAAGTGATTATTCATATTTAATTTAACTAGTTAAGCGAATTTTTTCTTCAATACTATCAAAGTGTACTAGCTATAATTGTTTTAAAAAGGTACACAGATAAATAAATGTTTATCTTATTTATTAACAGATAAATCTGTTAATAAATGATTAACAGAGATCATTTGTATGAAAAATATTTTCCTTACATTATGATGATCCCGTTATCGATGGAAAATGAGTCCGAAGGTAATCCAGCAATATTCCAGGCTTGAATTGTCACCGCTTCTCCCAGGATATCCATAAGGGAATAATCATCAGAGCAGGGGATATCTCTTCCTTTGCACAAATTTATCCACTCCTTGGTTTGGCTCTTTAAGACATACAGAGAAATATACAAAAATGAGGCTGCGGAGCTACCAAAGGAATACTTTGTAAACTCCCTGATTATATTTTATTCATAGAGTCAACAAACCATTGTTGAAATTCTACCTAAAAGATGATTTGTGTTCATTAGATTTCTTCAAATAAAATTATAACTTAGAAGTACTACTATATATTCAAGTGAAAATTTATTATATCAAATGTTAAGATAAAGTTTAGACAGATCACTTAATCATGAAGTGAAAATTTTGTATCCGGAAAACATATTTGCCAATTATTATACTAAAGCTTCACTTGGCAAAGTATTTGGAGACCACCATGTTTTTCCGTGTATTTTCTTTAAATTAAAAATAGTCAGCAAACTTAACACAATATTATGGCATAAAAGTAAATCCAACTTGAACTGGTAGGGGACACAGAAAACATTTGTTTCTGGATCTCACATGCCCTGGGGGAGGCACCATGGCAGAGTTATTGGGCACCAACAGGGATCGGGACACACACTGGAGTTTGGGATACCAGACCTGGGGTACAGTTTGTGAGGATGCTCAGGAAACAGAAGGGTACTTCAAGTCCAAGTTCACACTCAGAAAGTCAGAAGTTGAGGTCCATTTTGAGGTTACAGATTAAAGAGTTCAGAAATAATAAAAGACATGACTAGAGAAAACACGGGTTAGGAAGAGGCATGGGAAGGTGGATATACGTGTGTTGGTACCTGCCCAGGAGCAGATGAGGATGCTGTGTGTGTGAAGTGGTACTGGCGGAGAGGGCACGGTGGGCAGTACCACCTTTCTTGGGTTCCTGCTGAGTAGGTTTGACAAACATTCCCTTAGGTTTGCACACAAAAGGGCATGGCAGTTTGAGGGGAATTGGTGACTTTCCCGGCCTTGATTAGCCAGTTATTTTGTAGCATGCCCCACAATTGGTCTGCATGATATTCCCTCACAATTCAATTCGGGTTATGCGCCTTTGGCAGGAATATCATAGGAAAGATGCTGTGTTCTCCTTGCATTGCATCAGTGGTACAGGATTTCAAATTGTTCATTTATTGATGACATTGATTTTTTTTTTTAAATTGGGGAACAGTGTGTTTTTCCATGACCCATCAGCTCCAAGTCATTTCAAGCTAGTTGTGAAGGGCACATCTCAGTGGCCCATGTGGGGATTGAACTGACAACCTTGGTGTTATAAGCACTGCATTCTAACATGAGCAAGCCGGCTGCTCCTGATGACATTGATTTTTATCACTGGATTAAGGTGTTGTCTGACAGGAGCTGTGTCATAATTATATCATCCTTGGTATAACACTAGAGGGCAAACAGTGGAGGCAAATTTTACCTCTCATGAATACTTAGTAACTATTATCTGGCTTTTTTGTTTGTTTTGTTTGTTGATACCAGGAACAGATGGTGTGGCTAGGTCGGGAGGAGGGGCTGATAGCATTCCCAGTATGGATTCTGCCTCCAAGTACACAGTTCCTACTGGCATGTTTTGATCTCTTTGCTGTCAGGCTATATGTTAGCCTGAAGACTTTTGGGGAAGGTCTCAGATATAGCTTGATGCTGGAGTAGGCATGACAGACTATGATATGGGGAAGAAGTAGAGAAAATGAAAGTAATAGTTTTGGAGTGCTATTTATAGTTGACAGGTAGAGTATGTTACCACAAATGAACTCTGGATTAAAAATTTAAGTGGGGGGCCAGCCAAGTGGCGCGATGGTTAAGAACTGGCTTGGGATGCCAGAGGGCCCCGGTTCAGATCCCACATGAGGGACAGTGACACTGCCCTCTACAGCTAAGATGCTGAACAACAGCTCAACCTGGAGCTGGGCTGCCGTGAGTCGCCGGCGACGGCGTAGGCTGCAGCCCCTGTGGCAGTGGGTTGCCATGGGCTACTGTATGTAGCCAGCAGCTGTAGTGAGCGGCCAGCAGCCGCAGTGAGCGGCTGTTCAGAAGCCGGTGACTGATCTGCCTCGCCCAGGAAGAGCGCAATGATGGTGCCAACTTGGGCCAATGAAGCAACGTCCTCCACAACTAGATTGAAGAACAAAACAACAGCAACTTGTCTGTTCCCCTTCCCCAGATTCCCCAGCACTGTTCCCATCCCCCCAATTTCCCAATAAAAATCTTAAAAAAAAAATGTCAGTGGGCCAATTATAAGGGGGTACAGCAGAGAATAGCTGAAACATACATGAGGGACTCTGAACAAGCATCTCAAAATACAAGCCAACAACCTTGGCTATAATCGGGTGGTAAGAGAGATATTGGAAATGAAAAACTGACGATTAAGGGTGCCACCTTGGTGAAAATATTCATCATCACCAAAACAATTTTGACTTTGATTATTGGCAGGGAAAACATTGCTTAGAAAATTCAAATTAATTCAACTCCAGAGCTTGTATGTATGTTCTCACAGTGCTGCAGGATTCTGTTTTGGAGTTGGCATAGGCGTTTCAGTTGAAGTACAGTGGGCCGAATTATCCTAGGAGAACTGGAGTTTTCAATGTTTTATCTACGAAGAGTACCAGAAACTCTGCCAAGGGGCTGATGAATAATTGACAACTACTCAGATTCAAGCTTGGAGGGAGGGGATCCAGCTATTTATTGAGGGGTCTTGATATCCTGAGACTTTGAGGTTAGAAAAGAACAAAGGTTGTTGTAAGGTGTTTTTGTCTTAGTTGAGTTTCCCAGAAGCAGACTCTGAGATGATGATTTATGTGAAGTGATTTATTAAGGAAGAGATACTAGGGGAACGGGAAAGAAGCCAATAAAAGGTGAGGAGTCAGCCAGTTCTGCAGGGATTGGCTTCAGCTTCATCCTTCAGGGAGTGTAAGTTATTCCTTAGAGCTGTCCCAACCAGAAAAAGGGGAGACAGACTCTCATGCTCCCACCTCTGTCAGTCATTCATTATGGCCTGAGCCAGAGAGAACTAAATTCCCAGGCAATTCTAGCTCTCCAAGCACAGGGAAAAGTGGGTTCTAAGGACCCAAGGGAAGTGTGCCAAAAAAGAGACACAGGTGCTGACTGCTGGATGTAAAAACACAAGAAGCCAGGAGGGGATGTGGGCAGAATGCTGATGTTGCCATTGTAACACACTTAGAATTGAATAGGAAACTCTTGATGGGGTGTAAATTGCCATCTGCCCTGAGCAGAGAGAAATAAGAGAAGATTATGGAGTAGGACCCAGAGAGTGAATTCACAGGAAGGAATAGTGACATTAGACATGCATTAGGAAAAGGAAAAGCTTAGGTTGCTATAATGAAGTTATGAGAGGGCTAAAACTACCTTTAAGCTTTCATGTTGTTAAGATGGGATGGAATCATGTGGCTATGTGAATCAGGGGTGGGGACAGTGGATATAAGTTCACAGAAGGTGCTATGAGCTTTGGTTGTATCTTGAGTATTGTTTTGCTTCTGTTGGTGAATTCCAAGGTCTCAGTTCTGGACCTCAGCGCTCCTGTGAAGCATTTGGGTGGTGGTCTGACTGGCAGCCCCATTCTGGTAGAAGCAGGTGACTGCAGAGTCAGCAAGATATAGTGCCTCAGAACGAGTCTGCCAGAGAGGGTTGGGTTGGCAGGAATGGTACTGGCTGGCATGGCACTAGAAGGCTACCCAGGAGACAGTGCAGACACCCAGGGTTACGTTAGGAACCAACAGGGAAGGGGAAGGGTGGCTGCAACTAAGCCTTCCATTGTTCCAAGTTGACGTAGGAGGGGAGAAAGAGTGCTAAATTAAGAATCTGGGTGATGACAAGCCTCATTCTTGCTCTGTCATTAGCCAATTGTGTGGCTCTGAGCAATTCTTTTCATCTTTATAAGCCTCAGTCTCTGAAATTGTTGAGCAAACAAATCTATTACTAGGTAAATAGTGTTATGGTAAATATTAACTATTTGAACTACAAGGTATTAATGCCATAACCACAGACAGTCATTCAACGATACAAATGAACAGACAAAGCTGAGAAGAATATCAAGGTTGTGTTCCCAGACCAGGGTGATGAGAACCCGAAAGGCTAAAGACAGAGTCACCACCTAGGTGAAGATTTGAAACCATTTTGGTTAAAAACAAACAAACAATGACATAAACCAGAGCAGTGGCCACTAAGAATCAACCCTGCTCAAGAGAAAGCCCTGAAATTAAGTGAGGCTCAGCTGAGGCCGTGTGCAAGCACATGCTTTATAAAATGATAAAGGTGTTATCATTTACTCTCTTCTTGTTTGACACCAGAAGCCATTGCCAAATATCGGGTTGTCAGGAAAGTCATGACGCATTTTTGCATTGAAAAACAGAAAAATATGTCATGACTTTCCCAACGACCCAATATTTTAAACTTCTCTCTTCTGTTTATTCTCATTACCCTCCTTTCCTTTTTCTTTTAGTTCTTTTAAAATTTCTGTATCTCTCCTCCTGTTTACAGGGCCATGTTCTGGGTTGGGTTCTGTTTCAATTTTCCTCAAGACAGCTGAAGAATATGCAGCGTTTTGTTCATGAAGGGACTGAAAAGGGGAAAAAATAGGAAGGGAGAAGAAATAGGGTTAGGAGTTGGGTCAAGAAGACTGAGGCAGAATCTGACAAAGGGGTGGGAGTTCAAAGCAGGAAACTCGACATTTGCTCCCTGAAGAAAAAAGCTGCTTATCAATTGGGTTTTAGGCAAGCTCACCCTTAAGTCCTTCCCTGAAGTTTGTCTCTGAAGTGATATGGAAATGGTCTATTATTGAAACTCAAAGGAATTCGTTGATAAAACACACATATACACACACACACACACACATACACACACACATACATCCTGACGTCTTTATACTTGTTTAAGACCTAAAATTTTATCATTAGGGTCTCCCATTTCACATTATATTTTAAAGTATATCTTTTTGTTTCTAAAACAATTAAAAATTAGAAGAATATTTATATACCACCCTTTGGCTAATTTAGAGAATAAATAAAATACACAACAAGAAATCACTTAAAAACATTTTGTTCCAAATACTTAACAAAACAAACAAACAAATATCTCTAAGATGAATGTTGGCTGTCATGGATGGGAGGGTCAGGAAGAGACCTTAGAAATTGACTAGTATCCCTTACCTGTCTATAGTAAGATGTAAAGGCTCCCAGGTAAGCGATGACTCCTGAGGAAATGAGGATATCACCTGTCAAATTGATGTACAGCATCCCCAGCTCCAGAGCCGTTAGGCTCCATCGCGTTTTCTCGCCCCCAAGGCCGCCAATCAACTGCTCAGCTCGTTCTAGCTTTTTGCTGCACAAGTCAACCTCAAAAACAAAAGTAAACTGTTACCTACATGTACAAGTAGAGTAGGTTTTAAAATTCTGCAAGACTTTACCCTCAGAAATAAATTATTTTAATTACATACTTCTGCTTGGAATTTTTTAAACTGTGTAATTATGAGTACTGGAAAGTTCATAATGTTTTAGAATTTTTTCATATATATTTTAATACAATTTATGAAATTCATAATGGGTATTTTCCTTATAATGTAAAAAATAGCTCTGTTTAAGGAAATGACCTACAATCTGAGACACTGAAAGTTAAGTAAGTAAGCAAATGTAGATGTTTTTCCGGCATTTTATTAATCTAAGTGCATTTTATTTTAAATATCTTACAAACATTTTCTGCTTATTCAACTTATGGTTGATTTAATGATAATTTTAAAGGTTAAATGTTTAAAAGTATTAATAATTTATGCTTACTTACAAAGCACAATTTTCAAGTTGTTAAATTGTGTCAATCTATTCAGACACTTGCAATTAACTTTAAATTAGGACATCAATCAATAGCTGAGAGCCTACTTTGTGCATAAGGCTGTCAACCAAATTTGATTACACGTAATTAAGCAATGTGATTAAAAAAATAAAAAGAGTAATTATGATGGCGGGGAAAAGCCATTTAAACCCATTCCATAGCAATACTCCAGTAAAATACCTGAATTATTTTTATTTAATTTTAAATGATTTAATATCATTATTCTTGGAAGAAGACAAGATTAAATAAAAGTTACCTTAAGGTTCAGAATGAAATTATTTACATAAAAAGAGGAAGTAAATAACTGATGAAAACAGGCATTTGGTTTGTAATAAGAATTTGGCTTATACTTTTTCCCAATATTATTAATATTTATATTAAATAAATGCTTTTAAATTAAAAGGTATAAAATACTGTATCAATCTGTATCAATTTATCTAAAGATAGGTTTAAAAAAGGAACAGGTATCTAATTGGTCATATTTTTCAAATTTTACTAAGTTGATTGTGGTGACATTGGTTAATAAAATCACTGTATTTCCCTATGTATAAGACACTCCCATATATAAGATGCACCTTAATCTTGGAGCCCAAAATTTGAAAAAAATGATTACATAAAGTTATTGAACTCAAGTTTTATTCATCATAAAATTCACACAACTCCTCATCACTGTCAAAACTCCCAACCATTAGCTTGTCCGCATTTGTGTCTGATGATGAATCACTGTCTTCATATATTGCCTCTCATGGCCTTCTTCTGCCATGGCGTTTTCAGTAGGGTTTCTTCTTCCCATAGCCAGTCTCAGATTATTTTCTCTGTTGGAGGAGGACTAAACTTACGTTCAGCAGCACGATTTCCGTTCACTTTTGCAAACTGGATCACTTTTAACTTGAATTCAACACTGTACGAGAATCTTTTCTGAGCCATTTCTGGGCAAAACTTGGCAAAACATAACCTACCGTAATATACCAGTAATAAGTGCGAAACAATGAGCACCAAGACAACAAGCGCGAAAAAGCGGGAAATGCAAGTAAAAAAATCTACAACCGCTGTATAAGATGCACCCAGTTTTTAGACCTCAAATTTTTTGAAAAAGGGTGCGTCTTATACATGGGGTAATATGGTATATAGGTTTCAAGTGTACAATTGTATAATAATACATCATCTGTATATTGCACTGTGTGTTCACCACCCAAGGTAACATTTTTGGTGCTTCCTAAATTTAAACTTTTTCTCTTTTAATTTTCCCTCTTTTATTATCTTCTGTCTTCCTAGTTTCTTTATCCATTATTCTTTCAATGATGTTGAAATGCCGAATCAGGTCTTGGACTATAATAAAGTTGTCATCAGAAACTACTAAGCAAAAATATTTTGCTAAAATTTCTCTTCCAAAAGCACATTTTTAGTACACATATATGCATGTATTCATTATCCATTACCATAATTTTCCAGCATTTGATTATGAAAAATAAGTTAAAATGTCAAACATCCAGCAGAGCTGAGACACGTTCACAGTGAGCAACCACATACTGTTAGTTATATTATTTAAACTAAAACTGATCACTTGGAAATGATGCTCAATAACAGGTCACATTCCTGAAGACTAGCACAATGTCACATATTTGTAAAATGTAGAATTTTTGTACATATTCTACAGAAAAAAGCAGCCTGGGAACCACAGGAAAGAAGCTGGGGTGACCATAGACGAAGTGCTTGACTTCTGTGTTTCAATTCCTACAAAACGGTACAAAAAGATTACCTCCCTCAGAAGGCTGTTATGAGAATACGAGATAATAACACTGCTCTCAGAAAAAGCGTCTCACACATAAGCATCCAATAAATATTGACTTATAAAACAGTTTGACTATTTTACTGAAACATGATTAGACTTCAGCAGTGAGTTTTTGCAAACAGTATCACTATATAAGCTAGAGCATTGTTTTTGGTCTTAAAAACATTTTCAGTGGACACAGTATGGTTCTAGGTATTGAATTCTAATCTCAGTTTAGCCATTAACTCATTTTTTAAAATTTTTACATTTATTTACTTTTCCTTCTAGAAAATTTTTTTTCAGTTACAGTTGACATTTAATATTATTTTATTTTATTTTATTTTATTTTAATTTTTTTTTTAGCTGAGCCATCCTGCCACCTGTTGGCAGCTCAGTGACAGCTCAGCTCAGGCCAGGCATTCAAACCACTGTTGCTCAGAGCTCGCACTCTTGAGTGAGCTCTTAACCAACTGAGCCACTCAGCCGGCCCTTCTAATATTATTTTATATTAATTTCAGGTGTGCCATTAACTCTTATACAACATAAATCAATTAACATTTTGGTTCTCCATTTCCTTGTCTATAACATGAAGATGATTTAAATAATCTAGCTCAATATTCTAGTAATATAAGGTAGAAATGGTTGGCAATTTTTTTTCTTTTGAGGGAAAAATGGCCAGATGATAAATATTTTAGGCTTTGTGGGCCAAGAGGCAAAATCGAGGATATGATCTAGGTACTTTTATCACCATTTAATATGTAACCATTTAAAAATCTCAAAACCGTTACTAGCTTATGGGCCATAAAAATAGGCAATGGTGGATTTGGCCTGTGGCCACAGTTTGCCAACCTCTGACCAGGAAGAAAAGAGAATCGCTGTGCTGTGTACTAATGTGAACGTCAATCATATTTACAATAATTAGGGATTTGCCCATATTTGTCTATATTATTCCATACCTGGTTTTCCAAGTCAGCCTTCTTCTGTTTATTTAGTTCGAGCGTTTCCTGAAGCTTGGCCAACTTGTCCTGAACTTCCTGCAGGGCTGCCTGCTTTTTTCTAAGACCATCCATGGCAATTTTAAGCTCCCCTTCAGCTGCAGCCAGTTTTATCTTTTTGGGAGCTACTATTTTTGCCACTCTGTGAAAAGTAAAATTGGAAAATTAAATATACATTTAATATTCTAGTATAATTTCTATCACTGAATTTGCTTTTCTAATAGCCTTACTTCAATGCAAAAAACATCTTCATGTACAACCTATACTGATTTCTATATTCTCTATTTCACCTAAGAATCAGTCAAACCTGATCCCAGCACGTAAGAAATGACAAAGTAGATACCAAATATGCATAATATTTTCAAATAAGTAAATGTTGTTTTTTACCCCAAATAAAATATTTAATTATTGCCATTGTGAATTTTGGTGATTTTGCAAAAGGAGAATAGCATATTCATGTAAAATATTACTGTGTTTGTGGAAACTAGCCTAATTCGTTAAGGCTTACATCTGATGTGGTGTTTTATCTATGTCATTTTACTTCTGTTTTAAATTTCAGAATATACCCTTAACTAAAACCCAGTTATCTTATAAATATGTATGATGGTAATTAAAGGGACAATGCAGGAAAAAAGATGGATCTAAATTATCTGGAAAAAGGAGTCAGTAATGTTATCTTTCTAAACAAATGATAAAATATTAAATTAAAATATATCTTTAACATGGTATATCATGGTCCAAAAATATAGAGCATGTAACATATATGTACAATGACTCAAATTGTGTATGAATTTGAAAGACATCCTGTAATACTTGCTGTTTGAAGAAATAGCCAATAATTTTTATGCTGTGTACCTGCTGTAAATGGTTCTCATATAATCATCAAAAAAGGCTCTTTGTCTCATAAAGAACATATATCACACCAGTGGTTTCCAAATGTGTCCCAAGGCATGCCCCTGCCCCGTCACGGAATCCATGAGGTTCTCCCTTGCCCACCTAAACACATGTGTGAGGCCCTGTTTTCTTCATATGCGTCATCAAAACAATATATTACAACAGGTTGAATAAATAAGCAGATTTGAAAGTCCAGCTATCATCTATTTAAACACACATTAAAGAGATTTACTGCAATATAAAACACCATCACTCTTTTCAAAAATTTTTTGAAAATGTGGATTTAAAAAAATATATTAAATAAATTATTTATGTTAGCATGTGATGTTTTCATTTCTAGTTTAAAATTAATAATTTCTTTTTCAATTTCTCAGTTTTAATTTCTAATATGGTAGATAAACATAAGTTTTTGTGGTCATCAATTATTTTTAAGAATGTATAGGGCTTCTGAGTCCAAAACGTGTAAATACCACTGTATTATACAATTTAATTGGTATAATCTTGCCTCCAGTAAATATGTAAACACAGAGCAGGTATTAAACATGATTTTCTGAAGTGACTCTCACCTATGTAGCTAGTAAGTTTTAAATTGTCTAACTGACCAAACTTGAAAATAAAACATATCATCAGTTTGTTTTCTTTTTGTCAATACTTACTTATCATATGAATCCATTGCAATGACCCATTTGCACAGCCCTTCAGCTGCTGTGGAAGCATTTCTAATCTTTTCTGGAACGAAATCTGGATTTGGAATATAATTTTTTCTTATGATGCTCATGTAAGCTGGAGGAATGTTGTCTTTGTCATATTCATGAAGTGACTGTAGAAATCGAATGTCACCAAGAAGTCTCTTAGCTGGACCCCAGAAATCCTCTATTTTTTTTCCTGAACCTGTGGGGTCAGGGATTTTGTCAGCTTTGATGCCTTTCAAGATGCATATGGCTTCCATAACAAGCTTGACACCAGCAGGAGGACTCTTCATGGATTTTACCACTGTAATGTCCTTGAAATAACAACATCTAATTATTAAAAAGGAATTGTTTCTTTATGCATTACTTGTAATTGGTTCCTATTTTCATACTAAGCCATAAGATACAGAAACTCACTGTTCATTGGGTAGAAATGGAAACTGATGGAATTGTGTCAAGAAGCACTGAGAAATTTGTTCTCCCAAAATGTTTAAAACAAAAAATTATAATGGGAAGATGCCCTATGTGAGATTACTTATGACATGAAGTCTACTTCAAAAACACATAAAAGTGAGATTTGGCTGTCACGAAGTAAGAGTTTTGTAGTTTCTTAAAAACTATAAAAGATGCAAAATAGAAATTTACAGAAAAATACAGAGAAAAGGTACATATGAGGGTCTTCTATCATCCCATTATATAGTTAACTACTGTAAACATTTTTATTTGTATCTTCTATGTCTTTTTCTATGTATATGTATATACCACAAACCAGTGTATATGCCATATTTTAACCAATGGAATCACAGTACACATAACCTACATGCTGTTTTAAAACCTGTTCTATTTCAATAGCAATATACAGTGAACATCCTTTCATGCAAGTAAACATTTACATCATCGTTTTTGATGGCTACAAAGCCTTTCAACGTATAGATATGAACCAAAATTCTAATACCATATCTGTGCTTTTGTTCTGTTTTTCACTATTACAACTGCCATGTTGAAGTAAAGACTTCATGTCCTTTATTTTTAAAGCTTTTGAAACATAATGACAAGCTACTCTCCAGAATGAATGAGTGTCTGTTTTACCACATACACCCAAAGCAACATTGGTTGGCATTCGGATAGGCAAAAGAAATCTTATTGTAATCTGTTTCTTTAAATACAAGTGAGGTAGGATACATTTTCATATATTTATTGACTATTTGCATTTCTTCTTTTGTGAATTACTTCTTTATATCACTTACCATCTTTACTTAGCTCTATTTTTTTCTTATTGATTTGGAAGAGCTTTTACATATATGCACATTAATCTTTTGTTTGCCATGTAATTCAAATACTTTCCCCCAGTGCTTCTAAACTGTCCATAATGTTTATATCAAACAAAACATGTTGGTTTTTAGGTACTAAAATCTGTAACTGTTAGAAAAACTTTACTAATTATGAATAAAAGAGTATCCAGATTACATATATTACAAACAATATTGCATAGATTTTTTTCTGATTTCTCTCATAGCTAAGAAATATAGGTTCTGGTCCATTCTAAGGTTATAAACATGACCTACATTTTCTACTATTTTATAGTAATATAACTATTTATATTTAAATGTCAACAAGTCTGAAACCTACTTTGGAGTAAGGTATGAAGAAAGGATTTAAGTCTCTCCCCTACCTCACCCTAAAGTTTAGCCAAGATTCTATTCTACCACACTACTTATTTTTTAAAATTATCTTTATCTTTCTTAATTGAAATGTTCCCCTTTCATACCTTAATTTTTAATACCACATTTCATAAAATCTAAGCCATGTTATTATAAAATATAACATTGTAAGCCATATTATTACTTTATGTATCACCAAAAAAAACCAACCAAACAAAAAAACCCATAAAACATCGACAAACTTCGACACATTGCAGTCGGCCCTCTGTATCCACAGGTTCCACATCCACAGATTCAACCAACTGCAGATTGAATATACGAATTTGGAAAAAAATTGTTATGTTGTTGCTGACGTGTACTTTTTAGGTAGACCTACAATGGTTACCTCTGTACTGAACATGAACATACTTTTTTCTTGTCATTATTCCTTAAACAATACAGGATTAATTATTTACAGAGCCTTTACCTTGTACAAGGTATTATAAGTAATCTAGAAATGACAAATTATATAGGAAGACATATATAGCTTGTATGAAAATACTATGGTATTTTATATAAGGGACTTAATAGTCATAGATTTTGATATCTGGGTGGGGTCCTGGAACCCATGCCCCACAGATACCAAGTCACAACTGTACTTTATCACATCTACTATAAGGAGTATCTTAATTACAAAAGAGCCTAAATGTGAAAAGGTGCACCTTAGAATCAAAAAAATATACTTGGGTCTTATGTCCCTGTGGTTTATTGCAGTGCAGCTGTTGAAATAAGAGTTGTTGTAAGGCGGGTTATAACATTTCGGAGCTTTATTTTTTTTTTCAAATTGTCTTAGTCATGCACATGCATTTCTTTTTTTCAGGTGAACTAGGAATCCTTTTGGCTATTTGAAAACTATTTTAATTGCATTAAATGCGAAGACTAATTTGGGGAGACAGAATAGATTGTAGCACACAACGGTAAGTGCTTTCTTGAGCTCTGATGACATGTCCCCTAGTAGGTATGTGGCTGTGCTCTTACCTGCGCAGTGAGAGTATCAAGAGCAGAGAGTGCTGACTCTAATATCGGCAAGGCCCCTGCCAGGTCAGCGTCACATTCGTCTTTAATAGCTTTAGAAGCCATAGCTTGTTCATTTGCTATGGTCTCATCAGCTTTCACTATTTTTTCAGTTTTGGCAACTTCTACAGATTCCCTTTCAATAATCACCATCATTTCATCAACCTCTTTGCTGGCAACTTTTAATTGAGGATGGAGAGCCTCCAACTCAGACTGCATTGAGGCTACTTGAGATGCAGCAGAATCCAATTTATCCAAACCCACTTCATACCTCCTTTTCATTTTCATTACTTCACTGAAAGCAAATGGATAAAACAAGGTTAGTTGTCTGGCTTTGTAGCCTACTTCAAGGAAAAATACTAAGTGTTCTTGAGCTTTTTGAGCTTTTTCAAGGCATAGCTAAAGGAGTGATCTGAAAGGTTTCCACACATATTAACAACTTGCTAAAAAATAAAGATGAACTCTAGAAAATTGGGTTGTGTGCAATTAAGACGAGATGCCATGTCTTGTTCACTTTTGTATCTCTGGTACCTAGCACAATACCAATGCATATATCAGAAATTAAAAAAATAAACACACTAGGTATAAGGCAAGGAGCCTCCTATATCAAAATTAGTGATGTGATTCTAAAATTAGTCAACTTGGGAAGTTTATTCCAACAACATTATTGTTCCTTAAAATCTTATAATCACTTCTTTCAAATAGACTTCAATGCCCAAAACATATTATTATGGATGTTGCCAAAGGCAGCAAACCATTTTAAGATGTATTCAATATCTTGGAATAGGGTTTTTGTTTTATTAAGGCAAAAGTGAAAATAGGATAGAAAATAAAGTTCAATACTTTCTTTTGGGTGCAAAAAGAAAACCTATTTAAAAGTGAGGGCACACTACATTTTTGTCACATGTTGATTCCCTCTGAGCCAACAAAATATTCGACAGTGATGGGAACTGAGGAGACTGGACACCTGATGCCAAATGATAGAATTCAGTTTCAGTTGAAACCTTGTGGAGGAAGCACAGGGAAAATCTCAGTCCTGCCAGCATGAAGCAGTTTCAGCATTTTGGTTCATCCCTTGTGACACTTGGCTAGCTGAACCACTGATTCCCTGACACATGACCAAACTTGCTTCTAAGTTACAGCACAACCTGGCTGTAGAGAGATCTGAAGGCTTTAGCTATTAAGGGAAGAGTAACTACAGGGTGGAAATTCTAGTGGAGGCAAAGGAGACTTAAAAACAACGAGGAACATTTAAATATTAAATAAGAATATATATATATATATATATATATATATATATATATGCCTAGAAAACTATTATTTTCAACCTTTCTATAAGTTTGTATCTCATTTTTATATCTTTCTTCCAGTTAGGACGAACTTAAAATTGTGAGCATACAATCAAACAGAGCCATAAGTGATATCCAAAATTTAATCAGAATCTCTAAGAGTTTTTGACCTCCCTGGATGGGAAAATATGAAGAAAAACAAAAAAAGCAAGATTTCATTAAAGATCATAAAATCAACATGGAAAGACAACTATCTTGAGAGATAAAGAAAGAATAAAATTCAGCCAAGTCATGTAGCAGCAGCCTTGGGTGAGAGTTGTAGATTCACTAGGTAGGTGGAAAAAATACTGATGGTATAATTCCATCACGAGGGTGTGAACCATTGTGAATAGGGAAGTTATGACACCCCAGCTGTGGAAGGCATTACAATAGTCACCATAAATACAGACGAAAAGTCTCCTGCTGGAATCCAGGCAGCATCCTGGCCAATATGAGGAAAGGGACTTTAAAATGCCTGAGATCATGAGTTAGCACAGAAAGATTTAGAATCAACTAAAAATACATGCAAAAATCAAACAGCATTTTTGTGTGAAGAATATTTTTGTGTCAAGAAACTTGTGCAATTTGGTGTTTTAAGTGTTTATTTTTTAATATTTGAAAGAATTTGGTCTGTTAGTTTAACAGATCAGCCTTGTAGCTCATATATAAATCACGTAATAGAATATTATTCATCCACAAGAAAGGAGGATATCCTGCCATTTCCAATAATATAGATGGGCCTTGAGTACATTATGCTAAGTGAAATAAGTTTGATAGAGAAAGACAAGTACTATGTGATATCACCCATTTGTGGAATCTTAAAAACTCAAACCTAAAAAAGTAAAAAGAGTGTATAAGAGTGGTTACCAGGGGGTTGGGTGGGAGGGATAAGAAAGATGGTGTTTAAAGATATCAAATTATAATGAGCAGTAAATAATCCATAGAGATCTAATGCACAATATAATAAATAGAGACAATAAAATTGTACTATAATTATGTAATGTGATAAATATCACTACAATAGCAATATTTCAATATATATAATAAATGTATCAAAGTAACAGGCTGTATTTTGTACACCTTAAACTTACACAATAGTACATTTCAAATTCATTCAATAAAAAGGTATCCCATATAAATTGTATAATTAGGCAATAGGTAGATTTGTGTTTTTAAGTAAAAATCTCATTAAATGTATAGATAATATTCAAACATTTAAAAGAACTTAAGGCTCACTATATGTATAAGTTTAACGTCCATATTTATAAATTATATAAGTACCTAGATGTGTTCAATCTGGTCTTAAAAGGGAAATAAAAGTAATAAATACAATATAAAAATTTGTTTAAAGAAGTTTTGGAATGTGACCAAATGTTAACTGAAGACCCTCTTAAAGGCGATCACTAAAATTTCTAAACTTCTAACTTTCTAGCTTAATGTAAGGCTTTTACATTTTTAATATACATACTGAGTGTTAATTTTTAGAACCAAAGAAATTTTGAAAAAACCTTTTACCTTCAATGACATGAAAAAACTCACATAAGTTTACTGATGTCTATATTGATCTTTTCAAATGAGTTTTATTTGAAGAAGGAAAGTTGGCTAGGCATATTGAATGGATGTCTCTGGTTTTCAGCTTTTTAGTACCTAAAGAGAAGGTTTATCCAATTTATCTAATTACTTATCAAAGAAAAATTACTCTCTAGTGGTGTTTATTCAATATCATTGTCAAAGTACCTTGCAGGCTACCACGGCTTTGAGTGGTACACCTTCATTCCTTCAAGAAATATGATTATGCATTGATAATGTGTTAGGCAATGCAGCTGTACATATACGCTCGTATATACATGGAACAAATCTCTATTACATCATTATGTCATTTTTGTACACACAAATATTTTTAAACTTCTGTAGCTTACTTAAAAATATAAAATTTCATTTTACCTTCTCCTCTTTTCCAACAACAGTTTGAAGGTAGAGATTAATTCAAGATAAGAGGTGGGAGTCACATAATTGTATCTTTGAAGTTCAACATAGAAGGATGTTGATAAATCTATAGTAGAAGTGTGGAAGCTTTTACACATGTCGATACAGCCATCTCGCGTTTCCTCTGACATTTCAATTTCTTCCAAAAAGCGTGAGGCAACTGCCTGAAGTGCATCTTCGGGCCATGACTAAATTTAATATAAACGCTTTAGCACTTGATCAAAGTTACTACTATGAGTCTGTTACTACTGTAGTCCTTTACAATTTATGAATGTTGGAAATGGAGGGGAACACATGAGGGATGGGTTGGGAAAGACACTTTCATGAGAAATTACCCCCAAGTACTTGCATGCTTAGGGCAGGGAGCCAGTAACTAGTGCATATCACTCTATGGTTTGTTCACAGGTTAAGGAAATTGTTCATGAGTATTGCAGGAACTAAAGGAAGAGGAAAGGAACTAAACTTATGGAATGTCTCTTTCTGTGTGCATGCTACTATAATTACCTCACTTAATTCTCCCAATAATTATCTGAGGTAAATGTTATTATCCTTTCCCCTAAATCAAGAATCACATGAACAACTGTCTCCTTGATTTCTCCTATAAGCATCTCAAATTCAACAATTCCAAAATGTGGTTCCTATCTCCCCCCCAGATGGCTGCAGTCTTTCCCAGCTTAGCAAACATCACCACCCACGCAGGTGCTCAAGTCAAAATGCAGGAATCATCCTTGATCCCTTTCCTCTTCCTCAACCCTACATCTATCTCATAAGCAAGTTCTACAGGCACCACCCCTAAAATAGCTTCCAAATCCTTTCACTTCTTTCTGTATCTACAACGAACATCCCAGTTCAACTCTCTGTTATCATCTGCCTGTAATATTCCAACAGTGTCCTTACTGGTCTCCCTGCTTGTGTGCTCCACACAGCTGCCAGAGTGATCTTTTCAAAATATAAATTAGCTCATGTCATATCCCCCAGATTTCAGTGCCTTGAAAACCTCCCTGCAAACTTAAAATAAAATCCACAACCAACTGGTAAATCCCTGCGTGCTTGGGCCCTTCCCACCTTTCTGACCTCAGCTCTACTACCTTCCCCCTCAGTTAGTTCCTCTGGTCTCGTCCCCCGGATTTTCTCTCACCCACTCATTCCTTCTGTGTATCCTCTTGCCTTCACTAGTTTATTCTCTCTGCCCAGATCCTCTCAGCACTGGCACTTTTTGTCTCTCTTGTTTCCTCTTAAAGGCCACCCATTTAGAAAGCCCTTTATTCCCTATAGGCTACCCTGTATGATGGAATTATTTTTTGCTAATTTGTCTGTCTGTAGAAAGTAAGCTCAAGGAGAGCAGAAACCTGTCTATTTCATTTTTCTCTTTATCTCTAGCATTTAGAATAATACCTCCTACAAAGCAAGGGTTCAATACACATGTTTCGCATGAAATAATTAATCTTGGCAGGAAATGGAGGGACACAGGGGTTATGCAGATACCCCAAGGTCAAAATGCTTATGTGTTAGGCCTCACTCACAGGACATCTGCCACAGCCCACAAATTTCCTACTCCACACCCTTGTTTGCTCTGTGCTTCCTGATACTGAAGTTTACTACAAGAAGTATCACTCTGACTTTCTTTCTTTTGACTTCCTGTTAGGTTTGGCTAAAGAAAAAGATTAGAGGGTGGAGTGAGAGAGAGGTAAGGGTATTTATACCCTCTCTTCTTGCTAGCAGGAGCTGAGTTCTAGGTTTCAGGTTCCTGTTCCCATCAGGCAGTCCAAATTCCACAGCACCAAGCTCCAGCTCCAGTAACACTCCTTCCTCTCTATACTCTTTTCTATCCAGCTGTAGGAACAACTTCCTGCTATGCTCCACCACTGCTTGATCACTCCACCACCCCCTCTCAGTTCCCCTAATCTGGCCTACACCTCCATGAACAGTCTTTTCACTCATCTTTCCTCAGTGAAGCCTTCCAGTGTGTTCTCTCTTTCCTGTCAGGACCCCGACTGATACACAAATTTATCCTAAAACTTCCAATACATTGAAGTTAATGACTGTATACACTGGTAATAAAATGTTTTTCTTGAATTGTAATTTCATGAACTACATTAATGATTGACCAGAAAATTCTGCTAAAACTACATTGGGGAGGCGGGGGGGAGAGTCTATAAAATAAGTCATGATGATAATGGAGATTCAATATTTCTAAAAGTCTGTCTATCTAAAATTAACATGGCAATACCTGAAACCAGTCAATGGTACAGCAGTTAACAAGAGCAGGGAATTTTCTAAGACGAATCCGAAATGCATCTCCAATGGGACTCATGGCGAGGACAACATGCAGTTGGTTGCGGCAGCGATCGATAAACATGTTGAAAAGGGCGATAGGGCTTCCATCTGTTTGCTTGGTTTTATCCCGTTGGCGATCTAACTGACGCATTTTATCACATATCTCCTGCTTCTCATCTAATGCAAAGAGATTTGGAACCTCCCCGGCATTTAGCAGATTGTTGACATCTTCTAGAAATGACTCCTTCTTAATCTGAGTATCTGTAAACAGGAACACACCATTCAACTCACCTTCAGCACATTTCCTTAATATCATTTTTAAGTCTTCATGCCACTCAGTGTTACCATAGCCCTTGGAGAGTTCGACCTGGAAAACGGAGTAATCGGCCATATGGGCAGCTAATCGAGTGACAGACTGCCTTCCACTCCCTCCAACACCAACCAGAAGAGCATGGCTGCGAGGCTGTTTCAGGATCCTGGAAATCCTGCTGATGTGTTCTATGGCAAATTGGAATAAGACAAGGTTCATGGGTTTTTTGCTCATATTGTTATATTCTTCAAGGTGAGCTTCCACTAAAACCCGAAGATTATCCACATCTGCAACTTCTCTGTAGTTGGTATCCTCTCTCTTGAGATCGTGGAAGTCACAAAACAATAAGCTGCGTAGGTCATCTTCTTCTACCACTCCGTCATTATTAAGATCCAAACTTTGAAAAAGTTTGTGAAAGTTTTCATTCATATAATTTGCTAAAATTTCTTGAATGTGGTTGATAAGCCAACTTCTGTCTGTATTATCCAGAAGGCGATCATAATACACTCTAAGGACCTGAATAATAATTAAAAAGCAGCTTTAGAACGGAGTCTTCTATTTTTTTCTTTTTTTTTTTTAGTTTTATTTCCTTGCTAATCTCAAGTAATATAAAAAAATACTCTCAGGAAATTTTTATGGGTTTTATTGAAAACATATCCAACAATTAGGACTAACTCATAATCATGTTTATTGTAAATATTCATTTTGGTCATATATATATTTGAAATAATGCCCAGCTGCATTCAGTTATCAATAAATAAAGGTAATTTTGTGGGACTAAAGCAGGCTGCGGAGATGCAAAGAGTATTAAGGACCAGAGAAGGTGAGTGACTGTCTTTCCTGGTCTCTCACATATAGATAGATCTGGGCATTGGTATTTACGGTTTCTAATTGCTTTGCAGTGGTCTTTTCTTTTTCCAAGCCAGGTAACATTTTGAAAATTATTGCTAAATCCATATATTATTTTTCTCAAAGCACATTTTCTAGAAAAAGAGGGAAAGTCTTAGATGGATAAATAAATAACACAGAAATTTACCTCATGAACCCAAAGTCGTTTAATCACTTCTTTGGTTTCTGCTGTTTCTGGTCTTGACAAACACACACCCTGAATAACACGGGAGAAATCACGGAGGTTGAACAAGTAATGAGATTTCGCTGGAGTAGGCAAGAGGTTCTTCATTGCTTCTTTATACAGATTCATTGTACCATTTACAATTTGTGTGGTCAAATCTAGAAAATCATCTGGAAATTTATAACTTAAAAAATTTTTAAATAGAAAGAAAGAAAAACATTAGCAAATATAGAATTATGGTACATAAATATTTAGCATGACTAGCATAAAATTTTTAACCTGACTAAATCAGTTGATTTAGTTGACAGAATTACCAGTTCTTGTTATAATAAGAGAAGTTTTACTTTTTTTAAAGTTACTTCCCATTCATTAATTTATTTTATGTTCAAAGGAACTCCAGGAATAAGCAGAACCAATTTAATGGACTTTACTTAAGTAAGTAAACAGGATAGTCAAACAAGGAACACAGATTATATAACTCAAACCCAACATCCATTAGACAAATGAGTCCTAACATTTTTCACTCCCTGGCATACTCATTTTCATATAGACAGAATGCCTGAAGAATACTCGTGAAATGGGTATTTTCAGAGAAGGGGAAGGAAGAAAATAAAAATATAGAAAAAATAAGGAAAAGAAAAAAGAGAGTTAAAAAGAAAGTTAAATAGTGAGCCAGGATTAGAAAAAAAGGGGAGGGGGTGAAAAAGGGCATGATTGTGGTAGAAAGAATACGGGGGAAGAATATCCATTTGGAAAAATTGTCTATCTTTAACCTCTGCCTTGACCTAGCCAGCTGTCCTCTAAAATCACTGGATAGGGCATGGAATGACAATTGCCTAAGAATGGACATCAGGGAATGGAGACGTGCACTGCTTAGGTCCACTTGGCTTCCTGACCTCCATACATCTTGTGGAGAAGCACTGAGTGTCCAAACCTAGGGAGCAACACTTCCCAGAGGACAGGCTCCAAGGCTGGGAACTTCTACACTCAAACGTGTACCTGGACAGCCCTGAGGAACCCAAGAATTCTCTTAGAGGGTATCAAAGTCACAGGACAAACCTGGCATATCTGTCCAACATTAATTGCACCACATGGTGAAAATTCAAAACACTGATAATTCCAACATGACTATATTATACAGCAGAACACAAAATTTGTATAGAATTTTAGGCAAAAATCAAGACTTGAGACAAAAAAGGAAAAAGAGAAACTCTGGCTCCTTTGTGCTATGCCTGATACCTACATATGGGAGCAGCAGAGGGGAGCAATGTTACCTGTTATCTTTTCCCTTGTCTAGGGATGCTTTCATGAAAAATTTTGAGAAGCACTACTTATAGTGACATGTTTTCCAAAGAGTTTATTCCTGTTAATGTAAAAACAAACACACCTTAAATTACTTACCAGATTTTTAAATGCCAGGTTAAGATTCTAGAGAAGATTGTAAACATGGATTTATCACTAAACTCATTGATTGTTATAACATTGAAATGTCGCATGTATCGAGGAGTTACTGGATTTCGACCACCACCTATATATTAAAAAAGGACAACTCTTAGCAATGTTATTACTCTATACTAGAGTATTTTCTTTAATATTTTACAGTATAAAATAACTTGAAAGATGGACAAATTCATGGCACATTGAGAAGTTAAAAATAATCAGTTGTTTGGATAACCCTGACCTCAAAAAAGTTTTTCCTTCAAGCTCAAGTTTTTGTTTTTCTGGTTGAATTATCTAAATGAGTTCAACTACTGTATCTTGCTGTGTATAATGTGCACTTTTCTGCCCAAATTTGTGAGGGAAAATTAAGGATGCACATTATATATGGGTAGTACTAATTCGGTAACTTTATAAATGTTTTTAAATCTTTTATTTATGCTTATGAGTTAAAAGTGTAACTCTAGAAATCAATAATGATATCCGTATGCAAAATAATACCCTGGAATATGATAATCGGTTTTGTTGAACTTATGATGAACTTGCAACAGCGAAGAGTTCTTGGCCTTCTATGATGCATAAATATCGTAAATTTGTTACCGGTACATAAAATTTCTTGTACCATAACATGTTAAAAAAATAAATACTAAAATTCCTTTATAAACAAATAACAAGTACTTAAATGTAAACAATAAAAATTTGAATTAAAAAATTAAAATGAAAGATTTTTTTTCCCTGAAAGTTTGGGGCAAAAACGTGGGTGTGCATTATACACGGGAGTGCATTACACACGGCAAAATATGGTAATCAGATATATCTTGGGTCAGGTCTATGTTACCAAAGGAAATTCTACCAGATAGAAAGAGCCATTAGCCACCTTCTCCATGGCTCATAGACCAAAACAGTAAACTATGAAATTCTCATTACAATAAAATATTAAGATACAATGTTATACAATAGTAATATAAGGTAGACCTGACTGACCAATCTTTAGGGTCCTTCCCACATGTTTGAAAATCAGCACAACCTTGGCATACAGCCCAATTATTTTCCTACATCTTGAAACGAATTTCCCTAAGATTGGTCTATGTGGCTGATGTGGCCACTTCACTGGCTGCTTGCATTTTTAAAAATCTGGGAATGATCTCATTTTCATGAAATAATGATTACATTTTCAAAGATCTGAGGCTTTAATAACTGACTTAGAATATAACACATCATTTTACAAAATTTTGTAAAAATTTTGTTTTATCAAAATATGATTGATATTATCACCTTTAAATATATAAACAAATTGCAATTGTTATCATGAAACCTTTGGTAAATAACTGATTTTATAAGTGGACAATATCCCTAATATATATTTTGCATAAAAATATACATGTTCATATTTTATGTTTGTTTAAAATCTGGTAAATCTGAATTTTATTTTATCACTGAATCATACGGTACATATTCTGAAACCATGAATAATCTGCGAAAGCATATAACTAGTAGTCTATAGACTGAAACAGTTATGTATGTCTCTGTATTGAGAAGCTCATAATGAACATTGATTTACCTGGCAAGTTTAAGGAGAAGGTGAAAGGGTTGCAGAAGGAAAGGTGAGAGATCATATGCCCCAGCTCTGTCTTCAACCTTTCCTCCCAGAAAACATTCAGATGGTAGTTTTAGAAAATAGGGCCCAAGAGGGAAAGATACATCATGGATTCAGCCTATTCTTCTGTCTAGTTTCTGAAAAGTCAGGGAAAGTGGATATATAGTACAAATGACTGCCTTGTGGTGGTGGGAGACAGGCAATGTAGAACTGAAGTCTAAGACTAGGGGATAGATAGAGACAGAGACAGAGATAGAGATAGGGAACATTCAAGCATTCAAAGTGGCCCAGGGAGTGTGCTGAGAACAATTATTGACTCGGAAAACTGTCTGCATTACAAGTCAGATAAAGGTGAGGGGTTCACAGGCAAATATGCGAGATTCCTGGAAGAAACAGTGCATCGAGAGATGGAATTAAAAAAATATATATAGAATGCCAGCCTGAGTTCAGGAAAAGAATAAAGATGTCCAGTTAGTTGACGCTAGCCATTTTATATACTCCAGCATAAAAAATTTCCCCTACATAGAGATCCATTTGATTTTAAAATTTTTTCTTGGAAAATATAAGGGGTTTTTAAGAATTAATTCTTTCCCACTTAAATTCCTCTCAACAGCCTGTCTAAATTCACACACTCACTAGAATAGGACCAGATTTGGGTAGAGGAGAGGTGATCTCTGAAACAGGGATGTTTCATACAGTTGAAACTTTAAGGAATGAAACGGAACTGAGCTGCCTAGGGGGTTCTGAGATCTCAGAATGGAGGGACAGAAAATGGGAAGCAAAGCCCTAGAAAGTGGGAGAAATGGGATTTGGAAGAGATGGTAGAAGAATGGCTCCAACGAAAGCAACCCACTTTGCAGTGTTGACCGCTGTGGTACACTCTCTTAGGTCACAATGTATACACATAGAAAATACACACACAAAACAATGTGACTCAAATCCTTCAATTGGGTCTCTCTTTCTCCAGCTATCTCTTTAGATAAAGCCAGAATGACTTCCAATCTTAATAATCACAAACTCAGAAAATGTACCTGGAGGTCCCATAGCACACATGATTTGAATGTCCACTAGTTTAATCACAGAACAATCTTTTAGGTCATACCAATTCCAGTGATCTAACCACTGTCTCAGTAACTCGATGGGAGGTTGAGCCCCATATACCTCCCGAGCAGGCATATTGACATCATCTACAAAGACAACCTGAGAATGACAAGAGAGGAGGTATTAGAAAATATTAACATCTTAACATAGTGTTACTGTGTAAACAATATTGAGGCAAAGAATTGGATCATTGTCTTGTAGACCTATGTGGGAAGTGATATTTTCTTTTCAAATCAAGAATAATATCCCTTAACATCCATGCTTCTAAGGAATAGGGAGACAATTTTATTACTAACCTTTATAGGTTAACAGTTTAGGACTTATTAACACTCTCATACAATTTGTTTCTCAATATGCCTTTTTTTCCCCTTGTACAACTTCAATACATTAAAATAAATGAGAAAGATGTGATGTTAAAATGATTATAACCTCTGAGTAGTGAGAGTGAAATTGAGAAGGGTGTCCTTGGTAGAGGAACACAGGTAAGTCAATTGAGCTGAGATGTTTATGGGCCTAGAAGAGCAAGCAGCAAAGGCTATGCTGAGTAAAAATGTTAATGCAAGAATTAGCAAAGTAGGCAATTTCCCCGATGAATAGTCTACTTTTAACTCAAAGGGCAATGGGCTGCTTTTAATGTCAGGTTGTCTAATGCACATACAAATATGAATACTCTTTTAGGGAAATTTCTTAATCAAAATTTGTGACACAAACAAACAACAAACAAACAAAAACAAACCATACAAAAAGATGTCCAGCCCTGGTATATCTGGTTTCCTGTTCTGACTGTAGCAATGTGCTTGAATAGGAGCAATGCTGTATAGTGTGTATAGAGACAGTGATTACCATTCTCTTGCCCAGAGGAGGACCAAAAACTCCCTTTCTTCTCTTGTCCAATTTTGACATGATAATATTCTGAGTTTGAGCTGCTGTTGTTTGTGCTGAGAAGTTAATTATCAGAGGCTTGTAGACTTCTTTATTGAGTTGATTTAAAAGGAAGTTCTATATAATAGGAAATAATAAAATGAGCCATAGATGAAATTATATTTTGACATTTCAAAATAAACACTAAACATCATTGGTGACACACTCAAATTTAAGCTTAGAGTTTCTGAATAATGTAAAGAGAGATGGAATCAATAGAAATAGTAGTTACTATGTCCATGGTGTGTGTCTATTTGTCCAGGCCCATGCTTGTAGCTTCTCTGATTTCCAAAACCACCACCTAGACTACACATTCCTGCTTAACATGAAGTCACTCAGTCATGTGGGGACTCAGAGGTTAGGAAACTTGTTTAAGGTCTCAGGGTTGGGGTAAGAATTCAGGCTGCCATTTGTCTCTCTACAAATCAATGCTCTTTTTAATACAGCTTATTATCTTTCCACTTCAATATCAAGTTATCTGATTGTAAGTTGGGAAGCTTAAATAATATAATTGTATTTTCAAAATGGAATTCACTGGAGAGTAGGCATAATTACAGTGATTCTTAATCAAGATGTTGTGTTCTACAAACCATCTTGCAGAGGAATAATGAGATAGGAAAACATTTACAATATATTAAATAGAAAAAAAGCAAATTGAAATGCAAAATGTGTTCCCTATTTTGTGAAAAGCAATATTTTTCTGCCTGGGTAGTTTATTGCCTGAGCTGAATTTGATGGAGGTACAAATGACAAAAGGCTTTAGTTTTCCCCAACCACTGCCTTTAACCATGTCAGCTCTCTATTTCCTGCCTCTTGGTATAAATCCCTTGGATAAATCCCTTAGTTTTCTATATACTTTCAGTTACTGTTTTAAAAATCCAGGTCAGGGCCGGCCGAGTGGCTCAGTTGGTTAAGAGAGTGAGCTCTGAGCAATAGGGTCGCTGGTTCAATTCTCACATGGGCCAGTGAGCTGCACCCAAGCTGAGCTGCCTCTGAGTTGCCAACAGGTGGCAGGATGGCTCAGCTGGTGAGAGTATGTACTCCTAACAACAACATTGCCAGTTTGACTCCTGCATGTGATGGTGGGCTATGCCCACCTGCAACTAAGATTGAACATGGCACCTTGAGCTGAGTGGCCGCAAGCTGCTGATGGGCGGCTGGATGGCGACTGGACTTGGAGCTGAGCTAGTTGCACCCTCCACAACTAAGATTGAAGGACAACAACTTGGCTGTTCCCCTTCCCCAATTCCCCAACACTGTTAAAGAACGAGAAACAGGTATTGTCACAAATTGGGGGAATGTGAATAGACTGGGAACCTGCAGTGGAGGAGGGACCACTGATGGCTCCTTCACTCTCCTTCACCCACTTCCCCTACCTTTCCTCTGTCCCATGGTTGGGAAAGGGGCAAAGCAAAAGGATGAGAGGCAAACGTCCTACTCCCTGACATCACTGTGGTTCTCCCTTGGCTAATGCTGCCCTGCCTGCTGTCGTGGCAAGTTTCCAAATGCTCGCTCTCAGAGAGGAGCAGATGTGCAGGCTCTTTAGGGACTCCAAAGGAGCTGTGTGGACTGCACAGTCCCCTGACATAAGGGAACTAATGGGGTTCCCTCACTGCTGTGGGCAGTCATCCAAAATGGAGTCCCGGGAAGACAAGTCCATTTGTCTTCCACATTGTCCAACGGACCCTGGGGAAACTTGCACTTACTTGCCACGCAGAGGTCTGGAGGGTGCTATTTACTATTAATTCCAGCCACTTGTCTGCCTTCAGAAATCTGAAACTAGAAATAAGAGCTACACTCAAGGGAACACAGGCTGTGTAAAGCTACTGAGATTCGGGGCTTTATCTGTTACAGCAGCTAGTATTTTCTTAACTAACACACAATGGGTATGATTCCAGAAATCATTAAGTAAAATTAGTCAGATGTACTACATACTAACCATTCAGATAGTAAATAATTTAGAAAACTAAATATCAAGTGTAATTAACTAAAACACCTGTTTCAAGGGATATAAAATTCTTCATCCTGGGCAAGCTATTTTTATTAAAATACCTAAAAAAAGGACAATAATTTAGTGATATAAAATGGCATCATATCTTTAATCAATTTTCTAAAATAAATAGGCAATTACACAAGAATTCTTTGTGGCTCCACTATCAAAACAACTGAATATTTAGAAATATTAAATCTATTGAAGTTAGTTTTAAAAATAACATTCTTAGGAATATTATGTACATTTTCATATGTAGATTTCTACAATACTTACAATAATATAAACACTCTTTCCAGTTCCCGTTGGTCCTACAAATATTGAAGGCTTTTGATGGGTGGTTAACAATTCCATTAATGCAGAGTATCGAATTGTGTCCAGAGTTGGTACAATGATTTCATTAAACATCACATCCTTAGGAATTGGAGGAACATCTGCCAATTTCTTTACCCATGGTTCCCATTTCCCTATCCCCTGTTTATAATAAATAGTCAATTAGTGAATGTTATGCTATATAATACTTTTAAAAGTTCTGTACTCCTATGCTATCATAGAAAAAAATGACAAATCAAGACCAGGAAACCTCAATATTTACACATTTGTTTTTACCCTTTAAAACATTCACCCTGATTTTTTTTTAGTTAAATTTTGTGTGATATTAAGAAAAAACTAGACTTTAATATGAATAAAAATAAAATTGCAATGTTATGATATTTTTGATGCCCTAAAACCACTTGATTATATCATCCCAAAGATCAGTTACTTTGGCCAAATGTTAGATTCTTTAATGGCATTGAGAAAAATTGGACTAATCAATGCATTAAATAGCAAAGAAATTTACTCAATAAATATTAATAAATATAGAAAAATTTATGTAGAACACCAACTACATATTGCTGGGCTTTTAGAATGGTATTTATAACATCAGCTTATCATTTCAAGTAAGATTTCTTTTTCTTTTCTTAATTGTGGTAAAAAACACCTAAAATTTACCTTCAACCATTTTTAGGTGTACAGTTAGTAATGTTAATTATATTCACATTGTTGAGCAACAGACACCTAGAACAGATAATATTTCTTAATATTATATTATTATGAATTAACATTATACTGTATCTTTGCATCCAATTAGCTGTTAACTGAAATTTTAATTTGCTATGATATTTATAACAAAAGAATTTCAAAAATATCATGTTAACTGTCTCCTTAGAAAAATACCAATGTCCGCTCCATTCTTACAGAATCAAATTCAAGTTTCTTGTCATTCAAAACACATCAGAATCCAGGCCCTTCCTTCCTTCTTCATGTGTCCTGCAACCCAGCTTCATTGATGGATCCACTGGTTTCAAACATGCCCCAGGCCCCTGGGCCTTGACATGGCACTCCTTTGGCCTATGGCGTTACATGACTATCTTCTGAAGAGGTTAGGAACTCACTGAGAGTAGCACTGTGCTTTATTCACTTTTGTGACTTCTGGCACAGTGCTATGCACATAGGAGAGATTTTCTTGAGGAGGCTGAATTCATATCAGTCTGAAAATTGTATTGCAAAAAAATTGCTAGAACTTTCTAGAACTGATGAAGAAATAATCCCCTTTCTATATTTTTAAGAATCTTTTATAACATGAATCTTTGCTACCATGTAGGAAAATTAAGAATCAGAAAACCTGGAAAGGACAGTCATTAAGAGATTGTGTAACCCTAGTAAAATCACATAATATTTCTGGGCCCCAATATCCTCAATGGTAAAATTTGAAAAATAATCCTATCTGTCCTATTTCACTGAGATGTTGGGAAACAAAATGATTGTGAAAAAGCTTAATAAACTTCAAAGTGCTCTGAAAATGTAGGGTATTATTTGTAATTTGTAATAAAATAAAATTTGCAAAATAAAAAGACAGTATCTTACAGTTGGCAGGGTGAAGAATCTCTTTTGAGGTGAGCTTGGCAATACATCTCCAGACCCACAAAAATTTAAAAATTGATACAGTAATTTATTTTCTAGGAAATTATCTTAAAGAAATAATCACATTTTTACACAATAACTTATGTACAGAATATTCACTAAAGCAGAAAACTAAGAAACAACAAAAACAGTTCAATGTCTAAGAGTAGGAAATCGTTTGAATTGATCATGGTCCATCCAGGTGATAGAAAAAAGGGAGGCTTTAGAAAAATAAGTTTATTAAAGAAACATTAGTGGGAAAGTGTTCTCTTTATTAAGAGAAAAAGAGGATATAAAACTACCATTGGGGAATATGGTGTGATACCAATTTCATTTGAACTTATACATATTTAAATAATATATATTCCTAAACTTCATCCTCAATACAGTACTTAATGGGAGCTGTTACACAAAAACAAATAAGTAAACAAACATCACCCATGTTTTACTGTCCAATCCATGTGAAAAGTGCTGGACTAACAGTAACCCATATGCGTTCCTGCAGGACTTCTTAGCATCTGTGACATGCCATGAATCTCCAAGAAGGGTCCTTAACCAGTAAGCACCTAGTGCTGGATTTGATGTCATAATGTGTAATTTTATTTAATGATACAATCGGCCCATTAGGTATTATTATTTGTTTCATTTTATCAATGAGAAAAACAAGGTTCAGGGAGATTAAATAACTAGTCCAAGGCTATACAGAAAGAAAGTGTTTTTAGTAAGACTCAGACCTCGGTGTGTCTGACTTCAAAGCCAGGGCACCTCCCTCTACTCCATGCTGTCTCTTTAAGATAAACAGCAGTGACAAGGTGGCCAGAGTCATTATGTGCTGTGTGTCTTGGAGTGGACTCTGCCAGGTTGGTAGTTGTAAATCTCATTTCAGAAACCTTACCTCAGTAACAAATTGGTAATCATAAATTGTTCCTTTTTCAGGAAACGGGACAGTCAGTGTTTTTGAAGACGTTTGTTCAGCACCACTCACTAATTTATACCTATTTCGAGTTAGTTCTGAAATTGGACCTTCCATGAGTTCTCGAAGAATCTTATTAAATTTCAACCGATCATCATCTTTACAAGAAGCACCGATGGACCATATCAATGAAAACAGAAAAATGCCCTGCATTAGAGAGATGAAAAGATAGAGCGCATTAAAGACTAGCTTTAATCTATTTTTGAAGCTTAAATTAGGTTTGCCAGATTAATATCTGTGAAAGGAAATGAATAAACTGATATATAATAGCAGGTTATCTCAGGATTTTGTAATAATTAGATTTTTTTTTAAAAACTGCATGTTTTATAAAATCTTACTATCGGAAAAAATAATACAATGCAAAGTATAAATTCTAGCCAGAGTGAAACCTTAGGATGATTAGTCTGGAAAATCACATAATATTTTAAGTATATGGCAAGACCTTGGTATTAAAAAGAACATTGAGATAACTTTTTATTATGGTATAATGGCACGTTTTAATAAGAAATAATCAACCTATAATATACATCTGTTTTAAATTTAAACTTGGATACAGTGTTTTTTAAAAGTAGAACAAGTTCACATTCTTTTATTCACCTGTTATAATAATTATCAGAGCACTGAGTGTATAACTAGAACTGCCAGCCTGCAAGCTTTCTTCTTACTAGACTCAGGCACAGGGAACAGGGTCGATGTCAAGACCAACAACTAAATGAGAAAATCTGTTTGCTTGTTTTAAAATCAAATCCCCTTTTCATGCCAATGCTAACACAGTCCTGACAACGCTCATAAAAGTTGTGGCCTCTGCTTTGACACTGTTCACCTACTCCTAGATTACTCACAGACTGCTTCTGTCTGGAAACTATTTAAAATTAAATTAAAAATTAATTTATTTCATAAAACATAAGCAACACGAATAACATATTGACTATATCAGAAGTATTACCATTAGCAATATATAACTTTTATTAAAGAATATTCAAGATCTGTTGATAATTTTATTTCTATTTTTAAAATATGTTTATAGATTATAGATTTTCTTGCTTTCCTCAACCTACATATATATTTATACATACACATGCACATATATATATTTTTAAACATTTATACCTCATGAAAAAGAGAAGATAATTAAGGAACAAAAATCAACGAATTATTATGATTTAGCAATTGAAGGGGAGGTGAATCTCCTTATGAAATGGTCATTGATGTTTTGGGAAGTGGTAATTTCTGAGGCTGATCTAATGACCCACGATTTCAGTAGCAGATCTAAGGTCATCGGGTTCCACCCAAACCTCATGATGCAAAGGAACTGCCAAGCCAGGGACTTCCCTACCAGCAGCTGGTATTTGGGGCCTGATTGTTCCTCACTGTTCAGCTACCACCCATTCATTGTCTAGCCCCCAATTCCAGAAGGAAAATGAGTTTCATGAACTAGGACATATTGGGGAAAGCAATCCATGTCTTTCTATTGCAAGATTCAAAGGCAATGGACCTTACCTCAATTAAAGAGTAAGCCTCTCCATCATTTCTTTCTCTCACTTTGGCTTCATCAACAAAGTCATCCATAAAACAGTCTATTAAATTCATTAAGGATCGGACTAAGTTTGTATCTGAAGTAGGAGATAATTCCTAAAACAAACAAACAAAAACAGAGAAAAAAAGCCTATAAAACAAATTAATTTAAACAAGGCACTAATTAAAATAGCATCAACTAATATTTATTGGACTCATTTGGTTCTAACAGCCATAGTATATATGAAAAGGGACTAACTGTTATAATTCTAGCTATATAGGTGGGAAGATTGAGGCACACATTAACGGAGGCAGCTGTAAATATCATATGAAGGTAGTGTGTGCTCTTTAATCACTCTTCCACTGAATCTCAAATTTTAAACATTTACTGGTACATGATTAATTGATTTCATCAAAGACACAGATTCTATGTGATACCAATTTTATAAACAAAAACTAAAAATTCTTTCAGAGAAGGCAATTAATTTGCTTATCTAAAATGCTTAATAAATAAAAGCCTATTTTAAGACATCTTTATAAGCTACTGCAATACTCATAATAAACTCATTCCTATGAAATATATTTTCAGGTCTTGAAGAACACAAACATTGATAAGAGTGCTGTAGATATTGTACACTTTCTTGAGTCTCACTACGACAGTTTATAAAATAAATGAAGTAACGTCTACAGTTCTTAGAACCATGCAACACGCAGAAAGTTGTCAACAAACATTTGCCTTCTTTTCTCCATGCTCTCCTCCAACCTTTAGAATTGTATTGCTTCATGGCAACAGGTAAAAATTACCCCTCTGAGATGGACTCTCTGAAGATGAGAAGCAGCTGACGTCATATTCAGCCACAGTCCCAGTAGAAGCGGGCAGAAATGACAACTGAGTTGTAGATTGAGGATGGAGCTAAGTGTCACTGACGCAACACTAAACTACGAATCGTTATTACCACAAGTAAGACAGATACTTATTACTACATCGTAAATAACAGGCATTCATGATTTCTTCAAGATATGACAAAAATGAATAGTACATTTCAGAAAGCTTGCACTAAAAATGGGTCTTTTTCTGTTTTGCTATTGTAAGGGTAAGTTTCAGTCATATGGAAAATTCATTTACTTGGAATATCTACATTCTCTGACAATGTCAAAAGACAAAAAAATCAAACCCTATACCTTATGTTATGACGTCCCTCGACGGATACATGTTTGTTTTTGAAATATGTTTACTTCATATCTACAACAAATTTCAGGGTTTTTGGGGTTTTTTTACAGCCAAGCTTCTTGAAAGAGCAGCTTATACTCACTGTCATGCCAGTATCTCCACATTCCTCAACCAACGGCCCTGGCGTGGCCTTGTGTCTCCCCTAAACGTACCTGGGACAGGGTTCCCCCATGACCTATCTTCTCAGATGCCAAATCCAAAAGCCATGAGCCAATCCTTTCCTGCCTTGACCTCTTAGTAGTTTCTCATAGTACTGACTACTTGCTTCTTACAATGTTCTCCCTCCTCCCAAATTGCGGTGCGCCCTGGATTCTGTCCTTTGCTCTCTTCTCTTTTTCCCTCTGCGTTTTCCCTTTGGGTAATCTCCATTACTGTGGTTTTAAACTTTACTCTCCAGACCCGTACCTGGAGTCAAACTTCTACCTCAAGCTTTTCTGTTATATTTCCAACAGCAGTGGAAATACCAGTCCCGTGTCTGTCTATTTGTTCCAGAGCCAAAGTCATCCTAAAACACCTTTGATCTGCATCTCTCAAAGCAGAAATTAAGCATATGTCCCTGACGATTTCCAGCTGGAGAGGGTGTAAGAGCCTTGCTGGAACTCCATCCACCAAGTCTCTGGGGGCAGATTTCCATTCATTCTGTTGCTTCTCTACCTTCTCTCTTTCCCCTTACCACAACTACCCAGGGTGTATGGAAAGAAAGAAAAAACGGATTTGCCTACTTTAGGACTTCTTTCAATCCTTCTACCAGGGACTGACTTCCCTCCCTGTTCCAGTTTTTCTAGCTGTTGACAGTAATCCCTAAACAATTAGATGCACCATGCTACATATAGCGAGTTTCTCACTTAGTGTGCCTTAAGCAGTAATGTGTGTTCTTCCATTATCATCCACTATCCAGTTCTTTAGATGTCACAAATGAGATTACTTTAAAAAATTGTCCATTTTCTGATTACAAATTAATATATATTTATTCTAGGAACTTTGGAAAATAAAGAAAATTATAAAAGTAGAAACTATTTAAAATATAATGGCCCATCAGAAATGACAGATAACATTCTAGGACATTTTCACCAGATGTCATTAAGTGGGCCTTTGGGTTTTTTTTAGGGAGAGAAAAGATAAGTGCCCATACATTTTCTCAAACCCAAAGACACTTCACTTAAAATATTTTTGGAGGAGTAATTATATGAACTAGTATTGCTTTACTTTAACTATAAAAAAAAGTTTTACTCAAACCAGTTAAAAAGTTATTTTTAATATCTGGTGGTTGACAACAAAAACACACTAAAATTGACATATTTGGCTAATTTGGCTTTTCTATTTATTTTTAAAATCTTAACATTCCCATCCCTCTTACCTTTGTGTGCTTTCTAATAAATTCAACAGAAACAGGGACCATTCTGTCAAATAAGCTTATTATAAATTCCTTCTGAGTAACACTGACCAAGGCAGGTAAGAGGTTTATCCAAGACATCATCAGTGGTCTCCAGCCTAACATGTGAGGTTCCATGTAAATCATACCACACCTGGAAACCTGGAAAAACAATAAGTGTTTACTATTGAGGTGATGCTTATAAAAGAAATATGACTTGGTACATCCGTTTCTTACAATCTTCAGAAAACTCTAGAAAAAAAAAAGCTTAATTTTATATAATTTCATGATCTAAATTTTGGCACATGACTTTACCAAATGGTCCTAGACAATGAGGAAAAAAAAACCCTGGCTCTTAAATTTGTCAAGGTATGTCAACAGATACATCTGCTCTTGCAGAATCACAGATAGCTGTTAAAATGAATTCTACGAATACTTTTCATTTAAAGTCAAAGTTACTCAGTAATAAAAGCATTTATAACATGTTAAATTTATAATTTGAAATGATGTCAAAACAGAGAACTTACAGTGGCAGGAGAAGCAACTTCCAGATCCATTGGTTCAAAAATAAGATTCATTTGTGGTGACATCTGAATGATCTCCCCGCTCATCAGACACAGCTTTTTGTTGTCATCCAGCACAGTATTCATATTCTCAATCCATACTGCATCCACTGGTCCATCAAAAACTAACCATTTCCTATCTGGTGTCTAGTTTATGCATATGGTGAATACAGGACAAAAATGTAATAATGATAATGTAAGGAAACAGTTCAATAACATTTCAAAATTTAAAATGTAACTCTCTTAAAACTAATTTCACCATGAAAATGCAAAGGTACCTTTTGAATAAAGGATATAGATAGATATATAGACAGATATAGATATGGACTTGTGAAGTTACAGCAATAGTCCCAGACCTCTGTCTGCCTCACCTGTGCCTTAGGATTACTTGTATCCTTGAAATCACTAGTAAAGCCTGATGTTGGGCAAGGTGTCTCCCCCATGAGAGTCTATCCTTATGTTAACTCATTGTCAAAGGTCCTTCAGCCAATAAGAGCAGAGCTGAGATTTGATGTTTTTCTATTATCACACTGACTCATGAGTCATGATTAACTGGGTCCTCACGTGGGTAACGAGCACCAAATTTAGGATGTGTGACAGTCAGAATAAAGGAAACATGCAATCTGTTTATTAATTTCTTTTAAATAAATGTCTCTAGCCTAGGCCTCTTTTTCCTGAAGACCAGCCTTAGCCAGCTGTCTACCATATGATCACACTATGGAGAGCCTGCTAACATATGGCAACCAAGTAGCCATTTATTGGTTTGTGAACTCTTTTTATAAGAGTGGGCACCAACCACTTGTTAGAATAAGCAGAATAAGCCAGGAGTAGGAACCTCCTTCCATTCACAGAGGTCAACAGCTGGCACGTCCCTGACCTCTTCTGCTTTCCACAGGCAGCCCATTCTCTTCCTAACACACTAGAGGGGAAGTGTTGGAACTTTAAAACATCATTTTGTAGAGGCCTGCAATTTCTTCTCTAAACACGGGAGCATATCTAACAGTTAGTGGGGTGGGAGCCACAGCAGCCCTGCAGCAGGGCGAAGGAACATTACAGAAGGATCAGAGGGAGCACGTCATTCAGAGGCTCTCCTTCCCAGATCCTTTAGCCTGAAAACAGAGAACCAGAAATATGTTCCTCTGCCCTTTCTTCTCTGGCCCTCCCTCTGTGCCCACCAGGGCAAAGGTGCCTGCCCCGTGGTCTCCGGCACTTTTGTAGGTTCTTCACAGTAACACTGCCAGACTATCCAGTAATGCGTTTTAAAGAAATTATCTTGAGCTAAAAATATAAATGTCTGTTTGAAAGAACTGAAAAAAATCAGAAATTGATGAGAAGGAAATATCACAGTTTTCCTAAAACGCATGTAAAAGTGTTAGTACTTACCACTGAAGAAGCAAATGCTCGGAAACTGACAGCAAGGATCCCATCGGACCACTCGTGGGATACTAAATCAAACTGGCCGTACAGCTGGCCCATGGTGACAGACTTAGGATTTAACACAGTGATTTGAACCTTATTTTCTTCCATTAACCCCTTAATGGGAAAAGAAAACCAATCGCTCAATCAACCATTTATTTATTTAGAAGAATGCTGTCTTTATTCATAGAAAACATGATTGTGTATCTAGAAAATCCCAAAGGTCCTCCAAAGAAACTACCAGAAGTAAGGAGTCAATTTTAACAAGGCTCCAGCATATAAGGTCAACATGTAAAAACTGATTCTATTTTATATATAATGCCAATGAGTAATTGAAAAACAAAAAGTTTAAAATACCATTTACACTAGTATTTAAAATCTCATAAAATACTTAGGAATAAATTAGCAAATGTTGTGCACGATTAATAATTCTAAAACTACAACATGGGAGTTGGCAACTTTTTTGGTAAAGGGTCAGGTAGTAAATAATTATAGATTTTGCAGGTTATATGTGATCTGTGACATATTTTTTTTGCTTTTCTTTTTTTTTTTTAAAGCTTAAAGAATGTTAACATCATTATAAAAACAGACTTTGGGCTGAACTTGGCCCATGGGCTATAATTGGCTGACTCCTGCTACAAAACATTCTCTGAGAGAAATATCAAAATATCTAAATATAAGGAAATATGTACCATTCTCACTAAGTGGAAAAATTGATACTGGTAAGTTGACCATTTCAACCAGAATCCTGGAAGCTGGTGTATGGAATTATTACAAGAGATGTTAATACCCTTGGGCCGTAGGATGCTTTTGTTTGTAAATAATACATTTTATTTTTTAAGAGTAGTTGTAGGTTTAGAGAAAAATTGAGCAGAAAGTATAGAGAGTCACATATACTTCCCTCTTTCTTCACCCCTAGATTCCCTGACTATTAAGGCCTTGCATTGGTGCAGTATATTGTTATGACTGATGAACTGATACTGATACATTATTATTAGTAACTAAAGTCCATGGTTTACATTTAGGGTTCATTCTTTGCATTGTACTCTATGGGTTTTGCCAAATGCAGAATGTCATCTATCCACCATCACAGTATCATACAGAATAGTTTCACTGCCCTAAAATCTCCTGTGCTCTACCTATTCATAATCATTTCTTTTTTATATATAATAACATAACAAGTTCAACTCTTCCCAACACTGCCTGCTGTCTGCCACCCCCAGAGCTTGGGACACAAACTACCAAACTGAAGAAAAGATGTGGAAATAATAATATTAAGCAGTAATACAAATTCAAGGTCTTTGCTTATTGCCTGTGCNGGGTGGGGGTGGGGATAACAATGTGTCTTCCTAAATTCAGAAAAATCTGTCATCTTCTATGTCAGAATAAAGTTGCTGCCACCAAAGCAAGGTTTTTGTCCCAAATGCAGCAAGGCTAGTGTCAAGCTATAGCTTGCAAACAGTGGCTATGGAGGCGTTCCCCTTTTAAGTCACCATAATGTCACTTAGATTTTCCTGGTAATGAACCATTTTAATCTTTATAATTGGACCAGAGTACATGCTCATACCTTCAGTTTCTTTAATCTTTGAGGGGCGCTACATTTGGCTCTTTTAGAGACATGTATATATATATATTTTTTTTTTTTACATAGCAAAAGCAATTAGTCAGTTTAACAATAAAATAACAACAAAAAATACTAACAAGCAAAAATCAAGAAAAGGAAGGCAGGATGGCAGGAAGGCCAGAAGGGTAAAGGCAAAGGACAGGAAAGGAAGAACGAAAGTAGTGTGAAAGTATAAAAGTAGAGGAAACAGACAACAGAAATAAGTAGCATATCAGTATTCTGATAATAAATATAAACAAATTTAAATTCCCCTGTGAAAAGATAAAGACCATCAAATTGAGGAAAATAAAAGTCAAACTATTTACTCTCCATAAAAAGTAAATCACAGCAACACCAGTTACAATGAAGGACATGGGTAAATATATATGCAAGGAGAAAACAGGGGTTGCGATATTGAAATTAGATGCAGGCGATCCAAGGCAAATAACAGGAGAGACTCCACAATGAACATATAATGATCATAAATCCCATATAGGCTACAAACACCGAAATACGTGAAGCAAAAACTATTCAAAACACAAGATGTAGACAGAAATGCAATATTAGTTGGAGAACTTAAAACAGTCTCATTTCTTTAGCATATCAAAGTAGACTAAACTGTGATGTACAATATAGGAATTTTGAATAGTGTGATGCTAATTTTTTGTTATATATGCACATATACATATATAACACACACACATTTTAATTCAACATCACTAGCAGCCAGTAACAGAAGTTTGCATTACAAATCTGACCACAAATCTAAATACTCTCCTAAAAGTATGAAAACAAAACTGTCAGGTTTTTTCATCTTTCCAGGCATTTTTCTGCACTGAACATGTGTTACCTTTATAATTAAACATTTTTTAAAATCAAAGTAGAAGGTTGAGAGACAAATATGTGGCATACCCTTATATGCTGAACTTCCTACTTGCTTCATATTACTTTTCTACTTTTATTTTCTCTTTGACTCATTATTTTTCATGATTTTATGTTTCTGCATTAAAGTATCTTTTAAAATGACCATACATCTATTTTCCACAAAGCTGATTATAAATAAATTACTGCATTAATTAGACTTACCTTTTCACATATATCATTTAGTGCTCCAGCTAAGACGCGGTATGCACTGGTTTTCCCTCCAAACGGTTCTCCAACAATCATAAAACCATGACGCACAATCATCATTTCATATATTTGGAGAATCTTCTCAGAAAATAATTTGGTCATTTGCAAATTCATGCTGTCACAGGTGTCTTTGATAGCTACCAGCAAATCATTGTAATCTGGTTTTGGCAACTTCACCCCAGGAAACAAATCTGAAGTAATTCCCTGACGATAGATGATTTGAGGATTTATATTACATATTATACATTCTCCCTCTCTCTCTCTCTCTCTCTCTCTCTCTCTCTCTCTCTCTCTCTCTCCCCACACACACACACATACATACATACACATTTATATACACATATACACATATATACAAATATACACACATATACATCTATGCATATACACACACACACATAAACATGGTAAAATGTCTCATCCTCGTATTTAACACTGATGGAAATAGAGTCATTAAATAATAGTTCAACAGCATTTTCACAGATTTACAGAAGTATGATTGACATACAATAAACTGTACATATTTAAAGTGTACAATTGGGTAAGTGAAACTCTCGACTCAGTCAAGATAATCAACGTATCACTCCCAAAAGCTTCCTCTTGGCCTTTTGTAGTCCTCCTTCCCTCCTCTCCTTACTGCCTCCTCTCTCCATCTCCAGGTGACAACTCATTTGCTTTCTGTTACTATTTTTATTTGCATTGTCTAGAATTTAATACAGATAATACACTATGTATATACGTATTATACACTTTTTTTGGTCTGACTTCTTTCACTCCAAATAAAGGTTTGCAGATGCACACACATCTCAGCATGTATCAACAGTTCAGTGTACTGAAGTACTCCATTGTATTGAAGTGCTGCAGTTTTCAAATCCATTCCCCCGGTTGATGGACATTTTCATTGTTTCCAGTTTGAGGTACTACAAATGAAGCTGCTATGAACATTTGGGTAGAAGTCTTTTTATGGACAAATGCATTCATTTTTCTTGGGTGAATAGCAAAGAGTGGAATACCTGAATAATATGGTGGGCATGTGTTTAACATTTTAAAAAATTGCCTGCTTTCCAAAGCAGTTATATTATTTTACATTCCACCGGGAACATATGAAAGTTCCAATATTTGGAATGAGCAGTCTTTTTCATTTGAGCCACATCAATAGGTATGTAAGAGTACCTTATTGTAGCTTCAATTTGCATTTCCCAAAGATTAACATTTTTGCATGTACTTATTTGCCATATGCATATCTTTTTTAGTAAAGGTCTGTTCAAATCTTTTGCCTATTTTTAATTGGTTTATTTTCTTAATGGTAAGTTTTGACCATTCTTTAAATATTACACATTCAGGTCCTCCATAATACATCTAATTTACAAATATTTTTTTCCTACTCTCTAACTTGTAGTCACTCTCTTACCAGTGTCTTTCAAAGAGCAAACTTTTTTAATTTTGATGAGTCTATTTTATCAATTTATTGTTTTACGTTTTGTGCTTTTGGTGTCGAATTTAAGAAATTTTTGCCTAACCCAAAGTCACAGAAATTTCTCCTGTTTCCTTCTGGGAATTTTACAGTTTTACAATGTGTTTAAGTTAAACAGTTAGAGGATGAACTGAACACTGTGATTTCAAGGCTAATTATAAAGACAATGTCATATTGTTATAAAGATAGACAAATACATCAATGAAACAGAATAGGGAGTCCAGAAATAGACTCACACACATGTGAACAACTCATTCTCAACAAAGGCACAAAAGCAATTCAGTAGGCAAGAGATAATAAGATAGTCTTCAACAAGTGATGCTGTAATATCTGGATTTGCCAAAGCAATGAACTTCGATCCCTATGTCATACCATATACAAATATTAGTTTGATGGTATTTTAATCATTGTAGTGGGTAGTATTTTAATCAGCTAGTGTTCTTCAAAACTTCATGTTCACCTGAAACTGCAGAATGTTACCTTGTTTGGGAAGAAGATCTTTGCAGATGTAATTAGATAAGTTAAGATGAGGTCACACTGGGCCCTAAATCCAGTGACTGGCATTCTTACACAGAAGGGGAAGGTTCAGACACAAAGGGAGCCAGGGCAGAAGGCCATGTAATGATGGAGGCAGAGACTGGAGTGATACCAAGCCAAGACAAGCCCAGGAACGACAAGAATGGCCAGTAGCCGCCAGAAGCTAAAAACAGGCAAGGAAGGACTCTTTCCTAGAGCCTTCGGAGAAAACCTACATCTTGATTTCAGACCTGTGGCCTCTAGAATTATGAGAGAATAACTTCATGTTGTCTAAGGCACCAAGTGTGTGGTACTTTGTTATGGCAGCTTTAAGAAACTAATACAATCGTACAATGTATGATTGGAACACTTATAATTCCATATTTAGTGTATATGAACATATAAAGTTCATTGCAAGCTCTAAGAAACGTTCCTTTACAAATTGCTAAGGCAATTTTATAAGCATCACAGCACCCTATGTGAGAAATATGACTATTGTTTTTACTCTGAAGATTAAAGTAAAAATTTAGATAAGCTTAACATGGAAGCATACAGTTGAGCTACAGTTTGGAATTTAGGAATTTCAAGCTCAGTTATTCCTAAATTTAATTCTTTAAATGCTATTATAGAGAAACCGCTCCTAATTCATCAAAGTAGTAAGTTTCTTTTGGGCAAAGGTGAGAAAAAGGCAATGGTAGAATGGTTAAGAGCACCCTGCAGCCTGACTGTGTGGTTGGAACTGGCCCCAGTCCCTTATGTACCAGGATCAATACAAGTCCTTATCATTTTTATGCCTGAGGGACACCATCTGTAACACTGGGTAATGATAGCACCTGCCCTCTTGGGTCGTCGTGAACATTAATAAATTACTATCTCTAAAGCTCTTAGAATAGTGTCCAGTCCATAGTAAGTGCATGGTGTTTTCTAAATTTAAAAACATCTTCTCAAATTGCTAATGGCTAACTTTGAAAGGAGCAGTTATCTCTAGAACACACCTGGCATTCAGTGGTTCTCAACCAAGACCAGTTCCCCCACTCTCCTGCCAGGTGGAGTTGGAAATATACAGAGTTGCCCTTCTGGTTGTCACAATGGAAGAAGTCTAGAGACACTGGGGGATGGGTGGAAGTGGGGATGCCAAACATTCTGCAGTATAAGGGACAGTCTCTCACAACAAGGAACTGTCTTAATTGAAAATGCCAATCATGCCTCCATTTGGGAAACACTACTCAATAAATGCCCGCTGAATGAAAGCTCAACTGCATGAGAATATATCTAGTGAGGTATATTTCCACTTTATAAAAATAGAGATTTTACTCTGGGAAAATCTGTACAGAGTACTAGTACCCAAGAAACTGAAGGAAAACTTTAGGACTAAACTATGTTCCACTCCTTGTAGCTTTGCTCTATGAAATATTTGTACTGCAAGCTCTGAATGCTAAGGAAAGCTATCAGAATGACGCAATGTGGTTGCTATGGATGGCTAACAACACAGGGCCACACAACAGTGGCACAGCCACTCCCCCCCTCCCCATGACAGCCGTAACAACCTCAGTCCTTACACACTGGAAGTTAACAGCCTGTACTTTAAGGCAGCACAAGTCAGTGCAACATCTAACATTTGTCGGGAGCCCATGGCCCCCCAATTTCTTCTACCTGAGAGGGGAGAAAAGACTGGCATCAAATGATAAGATAGACACTTCAACTGTCATCCAAATACTCCTTTTCAATTACTTATAATCTAATTTTAAAAACATAACAAGATTATAAAGCTTAGTTCTTATTTTAAATTATCCTGAAAAAAACAATTTCATAAAAGCCATTGCACTCTTTTAAAGAAATTAAGCTTATTTATTTTTTTATTTCTTCAATTATTAATTTAACATTTACCAAGTAACTACTCTGTATTAGACTGATTACTTGCTTCAAGGAACCTACATTCTAGTGTAATTTATAAGCAAACATATTTTGTAACTTTTGTGTGCTCATATTCTGCAGTAAAAAAAAAAAGTACTATTTTAAAATCCCAAGTTGTTGAAAGTCATCTGGAGCAACAAAGCAAGCTAAACATACTTCAAATAAAACATGGCATGATCTATGTTTCTCTATGTCATATCATTGTTTTCTACAGTGCAAGTTTTTCCTAGGGAGTTGCAAACTTAGACATTTGATAAATACATGATTATAAGAGTTTTGATACATTGGAATAATAAATATTCTTACCTCAAAGAGTGGTAAATCATGGGACAAAAATTTTGGCAGATTTACATCAATAATAGATCTGAGCAGCAAAATTTCTTCATTTTCATTTGGATATTTCAGCTAAAAGAAAATATACTTATGATGATACCTGCATGCATTAACTGCCCCCTCTCCATATTCAAACACACACACAAGCACGCAGGCCCCAGAGGCAATTTCATCCCCTGCAAAATTGCTGTTGTAATTTATTTTCATTTAATTGGATTGTTACTGACACTTATACTTGTTGAATTCTCTACTAGTCTATCATGAAAACCTAGGTTGAACTCTACCTTTTCACAGATGCTTCTGGTAAAAGCTATTAGCTATGAATTCAATATAGTTTGGGAGCTGCCTCTGTTTTGGGTAAGACCTTGCTTGCCTTATGCATCCAAGACCAGCAGTGGGTTGGTTAAGTGGAACTAATCACTAAAAGTGGGCAATCACTTCTAAAAGATGCATTTAAATTTAAAAATATAAACATTCACTCATTTGCCCATATTTTGATGTCAAGGTTTTTTCTTTGAATGTAAGCGTTCTAAGCCATTTTTCTTGTAAAATAATACACCAATAATACATCATTTGCTCCATCCAGTTTTGTGCTGTTCTGGTTTGTTTTGTTTTTTAAAGGGGATCATGCTTTTCAAAGATACTTGTGAGACAATCTAAGTGTAGCATTCATATCAATTTTTAAGGTTTTTTTTTAGTCTTATGTACCGTATTTCCCCATGTATAAGACGCACCCATTTTTGAAAAGTTTGGGGTCTAAAAACTGGGTGTGTCTTATACAATGATTGCAGTTTTTTTTTTACTTGCATTTCCTGCTTTTTTCGCGCTTGTTTTCGCGCTCATACAGCCACTGTATAAGACGCACCCAGTTTTTAGACCCCAAATTTTTTGAAAAAGGGTGCATCTTATACATGGGGAAATACAGTACCTTTCTACCCACACCTAATTCAAATTCAGTTTTTTAGCATTTCACTTTACTGAGTCTTTCTTAAACCATGAACTTTAGTTTTCTTAAAAACAAAACTCTTCTCTTCATGCTTATATATCATCAGTTTCCTCAACATTTCATTAAATAGCATAATAGCAATAGCAGTTCTGACTGGCTTCAGAAAGTCTCAGGAAACTGACTCTGAGTAAGGAACGCAGCTCATCTAATACAGGTGGGAAGGAAGAGCCCTTTGCGGCCCGCCAGCTGCGTGCTCAGTGTGGGTGTGTGTTCCACAGAGTGGAGATGGCTGTTCATGCATTAAGTCACTGAAGTAGAGGGTGTTTCAGAAAACTCACATTAAATTCCAAAACATATGTGGTAAACCCAGTTTACTAAAAATCTGGTTGAACTCTGAACTTGCTGCTCATGCCCATAATAATGTTCACATAATTCACAAAATAATCTGAACTTGGAATTATTTTTCCCAACTTCAATACCTTACTCAACATCTCCCTCCAAACTGTCTCCTATCACCAAGCTTTGAATTTTCCAGAACTCTCTTCCTTTCCTCTAGAATCTTTCTGCCTAATAAATTCCATGTTCCTACTTAACTTTGTAAGGCTGTAACCTCACAAAGTGAGTGATGCCTGGCAGTCAAGTTCAGCTGTCTCTGAATCTCCAGAGCCCCCAGTGGCAAAGCTAGTTCTGCTCACATGAACTTTGCCTTTGGATCAGTCTAACCACACATAAATTAGAAGGTGTTGAAAGTTTATTTTGTTATTTCAGAGGCTATTATTATAAAGCAAATGTTTTCATTGTTTCTTGATATAATAGAAACAAGTTTCAAAATATTCAAGGCAACACATTTAACAAAATTATAATATCTTTTGACAAAGAATGATAGGATTCATTTGCAGGATTCATTTGCTGTGTAACTTTAGTAGCTCAAGTCCATAGTCAAGATGTCACTGATGACATAAACTAGGACAAGCTTTACCTTTCCCATTATCTGACCACAATGTAATCATGACATGCCAGGCTAATAAAAATTATTGCTTCTAGTTGCATTTATTTATTGCAAAAACCAATAACAAGTTAGGCTAACATGAAATAGAATATCACCACTATATATTAGCATTCTGGGTAACATTATTATAAGAGATAAAAATACATATCATTGTTCTTAATTATGTAGGATATATTTTAAAATTTTTATCTTCTACAAATCATGAACATGAAAATTTTATAAACTCCAAGGTCACATTTTGCATTTTGCTATTAAGTTTAGCCTATCTTTCTTGTTTTCATAAAGAGCTAATGTACAGTTATATTTCATGGCCCCATAAAACACTTCCAATGCACAGTTACCCAAGTCTTAAAACATTCGGGGTTTTCATCTATATAGCTACGACTTATACCATTTTAAAATGCAAACATTATATTGCAAATCTATATAGCTGTAGTTAGCTGCAATTATGTAATTATACTGACAGTGTTTAGGGATTTCTGTGTGTATTGATTAATTATACATTATTTCCTTTAAAACTATACATGTTCGTGTAGACTGAAAGACTCCAAAACATTTCTCAGCAACAAGGAATTTTATTCCTTGGTAGTAACTACTTTTGTATATTTAAAATTATGGAACAGAACTTAAATCACTAAAAATTACATCTCTTTTTTTTTAATTAAAGTTTATCGGGGTGACAATTGTTAGTAAAGTTACATAGGTTTCAGGTGTACAATTCTGTAATACATTATCTATATATTACATTGTGCATTCACCACCCAAAGTCAGTTCTCTTTCCATCACCATATATTTAATCCCTTTCACCCTCATCTAAGGTTTTACAAACCATAAAATATCCTTTTTTGTGTGCAAATAATCAATTTTTTAGTATAATAATTGATTTTCTTTTTTTTTCCAGTTGATGAAACCAATTAGTTATTGGAGCTCTGTGAAGACTCATGGTCCTGAGACTTACAAATAGGAAACTGATGAGTAAAAACCAACTGAGTCTCTACCTTTAGATTCCCAGCAGCAGTGAGCACTGACTTCACAGCTCTCATTCCATAGTCATAGTGATGCTGCGATGACAACTGCTCTGAACACAAGCGATAAGTAGCCACAATTTTTACTGACAGTGGCCGAGCTGTGACAAACCCACAAGAGTACAGGACTATTTCAGCAATCATGGCGTAGTCGGGTACCATCATTGCTACTGTCCGAAAGAGAGCCTGTGGGAGTGGAGAAAAATGTGCTTTTCAAAAGGCCATCATTAAGGTAACCCTACTTTTAATTTCATAACATGTTACAGTTTTATAGCTTTTCAGCAGTATTTCATTACAATGTCCAAATTATATAGGCAAAAACAATTTAAAAAATTGACTTCTTGTGATTGTTAATATTATAAATTTATCATTAATTTTTTATATAAGCATTTTTCCTCAAATTTTGTTTTAAGAACACCTTCAAATTTCTATCATACTTAGATCTTGGGTGTGTTATTAATTCACGTAAGTGTTAAAGTACAATTATGTTCTATTCTTCCGGGGAGGCGAGCTGTTATAGGGAATAAGCATCAGACTGCGGCGATGTCCAAAAGCTGGACTTCTCATCAGGACTGGTGAGAGGGCACCTGGATTGAGAGACCGCGCTTCAAGTGAGGCTCTCCAGGTATTTAGTTAATTGTATAATTTGGAGTTAATTGGGTATTCCCTAATAACAAGGCTGCATCAGATATAGATATATTTTTAGATATTAACGTTTTTGAGTCTGCAATCACCACATCTGTCTTTCACCAAGCAAAATAAAGGGGGAAAATGGAAATAAGACATGGATGATAATTATTAGAGATAAATCAATTTTTGAAATTCTAAAGATTGTTTTCATGGCATTTTAAATATTGTGGGACAAATAAATGTTATGTGATAGCAAGTAAATAGAAAACTGAATCGATTTTAAAAGAATAAATAAGAAAATTTAAGTTTAGAATGGTGGTATGTGTCAGGACTTACTTCAATAGCTCAGGCATGAAAACATGACATTCTTATATTATAGACGGAAACAAAGCAATATTCTAGAAAAATGACAATAGTATTCAGAGAGTGAATGACAATTATAATGAATTACAGATAGCCTGTAAATACCTTCTGGGAATTCGTTGAATTACCAAAAACACAAGGCAGATAGAAAATTAGAACATCTTGTTTAAGTGATCTGATATGACTCTTCCAAATTGAGAACAAATAAGAGATTTGCATTAAACAAGATCCTTTCAATGTGTTTTTTGAATTACTAGCTAGAGGCCTTAGTACTGCTATGTTATCATTAAGATTACCACTAAAGAAAGAAGGAATAAAATGTTAAAAATATATAGCTTGAATAAATAGCTTGGAACAGAGACGTTTAAGCAAACGTTCTAACCACTACATACTTGAGGAAAAAATAATACAAGAGAATTACTATACAGATGGTGCCTCTTTTAAAGGGTAAGTTCTCAACAACTTTTTTTTTAATGAATAAAAGAGAAAATGAATGAATGAACAAATCAGTCAGTCTGTCCATGGCTAGGTTATCATAAAACAGTCTTTCTACAATAGTACAAATTGTTACTAGTTTGGGTTCAACATCCAGGTCTGTGTGTTGTAGGTTTCACCCTGACTATCCTCAGATCTATCACAAATTCCTATTCACATTCTCTCAGCACAATTAGCAATGTGGTTGTGGAACACCATGAAACAGACATATCGCTGGCTGGGAGAAGGAAAATAGAGCAAGGTAAAGAAGTTTCAATAGGTTATCATGATGTTGCATTTAATAGAATTCCTCCATCAAAGATTTAACACTGGGTCTTATTTATCACAGAGAAAAACATCTGATTGAAATATTTTTTTAGGCCTCAACTGTTATGGTGGTGGATGATCTAATTCAATGGTTCTTAAGCAAAGCGCATGACATACTAATATGATACGGTTTGATTTGAAACATCAGAAGTAATTTGTTAGTAATAGCAATAAGTTCAAGGATAATTTGTACTGTTTAGAAAAATTAAATTGGATTCTAGCTTTGCCAATGACATACTTTCTTGAATGTAAATAAATAAATAAAGAAGAGGGGATGCTAGATCCAGATAACATGCCAGGGCTTGAATACATTCCAGTACATGTAGTCAATGTGAGCATTATCCTCCATGTGTATCTCAGCAGAAATGAATGTTCAAGAATAATTATTTATTGTTTCTGCCCTATTTGGTGGAAGAAGGGTGGTACATAAGGAAGTGTGTACAATTCCTAGTGTATGCATTCGAAGGATTGCATATTGGGTATAATAAAAAGGGAAGAAAAGACCTCAAGCAATACTTCTTACCATTTCTTTCTTAAGGATTGGAAATAGGTTTCATAAATACTGTGACCTGTTCAGGAAAAAGCTAGGTTTTAGTTAAGTGAAACGAAGGATTCAGGATCAGTTTCACTTTTTACTTCTGTGCTACTATGGTGTTTCATCCTACATACTCTCTGGAAAGCTATATATCAGGTTATTGGCTTTCTGACACTGGAAGAGCTGGAATATGCCTATTTTACCAGGGTTTCTAACACTTAACTATTCTGAAATGATTATTGAGTATTGATTCTTCAGAATAGCTTCAATATAAAATACAGCTTCTCTAAAGTGGAGATGTGTTTAAGAAATTGCTCCACTATGCAGTTTTCATCTAGATCAGCGGTTCTCAACTTGTGGGTCGCGACCCCTTTGGGGGTCGAACGACCCTTCCACAGGGGTCGCCTAAGCCCATTAGAAAACAAAAAGATATTTACATTACAATTCATAACAGTAGCAAAATTACAGTTATAGAGTAGCAACGAAAATAATTTGATGGTTG